ATTAACACGTAAAAAGTAAATGAGATCTTAGAGCCGGATATAAATAGTATTAATTTTTTTAATAATTAAAATTTGGAACAATGTTGAATGAGCTACATAAACATAGACACATTTATGGAATATTAATTTCTAGAAAGTGGGACAAATAATAATAATAATAATAATAATAATAATAATAATAATAGAAGGAATTGTAAGAAATAAATATGGCACTAAATATCATTAAAGAAAGTCACAATAATAATAAATGTCTTCTCACGAGAAGTATGCTCATTCCATTAAATACATTCCTTCAGTTAGATAAAATAATGGTCTGTTTGGTTGTGAGATTTTGGCACTTGGAAGTTCGATTTTACTGTTGTAAAATAAAATGTTTAATTATAAGTTAGGATTTGTTTGTTTGCTTATTTATATAATTTTAAATTCAAATTAACATTATTCATCAGTTTTTAATAAAAATATACTCCTTCCGTCCAAAAAATATAGTCTTATTATTTTAGACACGAGATTTAAGGAATATTGATATTCTATTGGTAGTTGGTGAAATGATAAATGACTTTTTTACCCCTGTGAGTATATTAGTGTAAAAAATAGTAACAATTGTGTAATAATAATAAAAAAATATGAATAATTTTATGGTGATATGGTTATTTATGGAAATAAAACTATTGTTTTGGGACGGACAAAAATAGTAAACAAGATTATTGTATTGAGACGGAGGAAATATTATTTTTTTTACAAAATATTCTATCCGTCCGGCTCTAAGGGTCTCGATTATTTTTTGCGTTATTGTACTTAATATTAAAAATATTCTTATATTTGCATAATTTTTTTTTCAAATATCTTTCTATTAGTATTATAAGACACTAATGAAAATATTTTTGCAATTTTTTCTAATTTGTACTACGTTTTTGATATAATAATAAATATTCAAAGATAAACACGCAAAAGTAATGAGATTCTTAAAATTAGACGGAGGTAGTATTATATAAATAAAAACTCAAATCAGTGTATCAGTTCAAAATATAACATGTATTTTCAATATTTTAAGCATTATTGCTTTAGAATTTAATTTTAATATTTTTAGTAGGAAATTATACCGATTTTTTTTATAACAAAATTATATATTATTTACTTATAAAATATCACATTTAAATTACTATTTAAAAACAAAAACTATACTTTAATTAAATATTTATTCAGCGAAAATTAAAATTTTGCATAGCACAAATAAATAAATAAAGTATATATATATATTACAATTTAGAAAATTTTAAATGTATATATATATATATAGTTGTTTATTTAAGCGATATAAAAATATATAATTACGAGCATATCCTATCTTAAAAATTTAGAAAAAAAATTATGGAGATAAAAATATTGAAAACAAAGTGTTAATCTGAATCTAAATATTTTATTTTTATACCATCAAATAATATTCCCTCTGTTCCAATACAATAGTTTTGTTTATCGTTTGTTCTAAAACAATAGTCTAATTTCTATAAATTATCATATTACTATAAAACTATCATGACTTTTTCATTATTATTACACAATTGCCACTACTTTTTACACTAGTACACTCACAAGGACAAAAAAGTCTTTTACTCGTACTTTTTTTATCCACTGTCAATATAATATAATATTTCTTAAATCTTGTGTCAAACACAACCCAGACTATAATTTGACTATAATTTTTGGAGGGAGGGAATGCAATTTTAATCCAAATTCATTATATTCGAAATGCCAATTAGATCTGATTATACTCAAATTTGGTTATACTCAAACCAAACCCAAAGTATATTGAATAAAATTTGATAGATTCCATACACTAAAATATCTTTGTAATTCTTAAAATTTTCATACATTTTCACTTTTATAAAAAAAAATAAAAAATACTCCCTCCGTCCCATTGGAATGGTGATATTTATTTTTTTCACGTAATTTTTTTAATATTAGTATTATATTGGATAGTAGTAAAAAAACAAAAATACCTCTATTAGTATGGTCCCTATTCGTATGGTGTAATATAAAAGTAATGACATTTGTGTAATATATTGTAAATTAAAAAAGTATTTATTATGTTAGGTATGTAGTACAATGACTAAATTAGGAAATAGTAACTTTGTTTTAGGACGGACGAAAATAGAAAATAGTAATTTTTCAATTGAACGGAAGGAGTAAAATAAAATAATCATAAATAAGTATTAAAGTATATGAATCACTCAATAAAAGTATTTTACATTGATATATTTTTTTCCCCTTTAAATATAATGAATATATTATTGTTGTTTTTATTAATCTACCAATTCAATTGGTCGGATCCGAATCGAATTTTTGATCAATCTTGTGTATACTTTGTAGCCGAAATAAAATTAAATTATCATATTTAATAGTAATTTACAATCTAAAAATATAAATTGATCATTTTGATTCACTATTTAATTAAACTTTCATTGTGCGATGAATTTAATCGATACTAAAATAATTAAATATAGTCTTAATTCAATAGGTCAGGTCCTTAGGTATACCGGAACTCATTGTCATATCGACAAATATATATTGTCAATCAATTAATATTTTGATCAACATTTATATATACTTTATAGCCAAAATACTAAATTGTCGTATTTAATAATTTACTATCTAAAAATATATAATAATAATTTCAAATCATTTTTTTAATTAAAATTTTATAGTGCGACAAATTTAATACTCAAATAATTGAACATGATTTCAATTCAATGGTTATAAGTCCGAGTCGGATTTTAGGTTACCTAAATCCATTGTCATATTAACAAATACTTCTTCCGTTCCATAAGTAAATATCAATTTACTTTTTGTACGTAATTTTAGAAATATTAGTATTATATTGGGATATATTAGGAATAAAGTAAAAATGATTAAAATAATCTTTTATTAGTATGTATGATATAAATGTCACAATATTTGTATAATATATTGTAAATTGTAAAGGTATTTGTAATGTTAGGTAGATAGTACAGCTACTTAAAAAAGGAAATGAATACTTTGTTATGAGACGAACTAAAATGAAAAAATGGATACTTTGTTATGGAGCAGAGGGAATATATATATTGTCAGTCCATTCATATTTTAATCATTTTTTTTTTATATGAGACTTTAATTTACCCAACACTAAATTTTAATTGCGATTCTCCAAAAATAATAATAAATAATACAAAATATATTCTATAAAAGTAAAAAAAATAAATTATTCGTTACAAAACATCAAAATATTCAACTTAAAATAATATATTTTATATTTTTAACACAATTTTTTATATATATAAAAAAATAAAAAAATCATCTAAAACGTTAGGTGAACGGACATATTTAATAATTTACTATATGTAATATATAAATTATTCGCTATATTAATTGATCGTTTAATTAATATTTCATTATGTGTCGAGTTTAATACTAAAAAATTGAAATATAATCTTAATTCAATCGATCGGATCTGAATCGAATTTTAAGTTTAACCAAACTCATTGTCATCCTTACAAATTTATATTGTCGAACCATTAATACTTTGATCAGCCTTTTTAAATGCTTTGTAGCTAGCCAAAATATTAAATTATCATATTTAATAATTTACTATCTAAAAAAATAAATAAATTATTATTTTGATTTACTATTAAATTAAATTAAATTAAATTCAATGAAACTATACATGCATCTTCAAATAATGATAATACATAAATATCATTTGAATAAAATGTATGACTTTTTTTCTTATATTAGAAATTGATTTAATTTTATCATCATACTATGAATCAAATAATAAATAATTTTATTTCTAAATACTTTGAATTTTTTTTTTTTTTTTGCACACTTTTGCAAAAGTTATAAATTGCAATTTATTTGATTTCTATGTATGTTACAATTTGAAATATTTTTACAGTTATATTTAAATTAAAGTATATAAGATAATCAATTATTGTATTATTGTAAATATGTTAATTTATTGCAATCCCATAAAAAAAAGAAAGAATTATTTAAAAAAAAACATGTACGGATGAATAGTAACATACAAATAGCATTAATTCAAGAATTAGTAGTAATCAAATCAATGATTTGTGACACTAATAACTTACCATTTTGAAAAATTGAAAAAAATAAAATTATTAATTGTATCATTTATATAAAATCAGAATTCAATGTTACATGTATCAACTAAATATAATTTTTTTTTAATATAAACTCATAAATATCTTTATAAATAAATTATAATTATATATTCTAATTATTATTTGGATATAAAAGAGAATTTCGAGTGAAAACAAATTTGAAATTAAATAAGCATTGAAACAATATAAGACGAAATATATTTAAAAATAAATATACATCTGTTAACAATTATATGTAAATAAATACGGAATTCAATTAAATAATAATAATAATATAAAATTGAAAAAATAATATAATATACTATAGTAATACTTCTCCTCCCCTCCGTTCCATAAGTAAATCTCCTCCCCTCCGTTCCATAAGTAAATATCTATTTATTTTTTTTACGGCAGTTTTAAAAATATTAGTATTATATTGGGATATAGTGAAAATAAATAATTATTAAAATCGGATAGAAACTTGTGGATTGGATGATATTTTAAAATTTTAATTACTCAAATATTAAATAAAATGTAAATATATTTTATTATTTATGTTAGTTTTATTAAATTAAATATATAAAAAAATTATTTTGATCAAATATAGAAAATGGGAACCGAAAAATTAGAGCAAATAGAGATTTATAGAACTGAATTAAATCACCTTTGACAAAATTTGTTGGAAAAATCATTAATTAATTAATTAATTAATCATAATTTTTTTTTTAATAATAATTAAATAATAATAATAATAATAATAATAGCAGCGGTAAACGTGGAATATCCTGAAAAGGAAGTACAGTACATCAAGCAACACGTAAAATGCATTTATTCATAAACACACTAAAAAAACCAAACAAACAGATCACCAGCGCCAGCAGCAACAGCCATCTGCAATCCAAACGAAGCCATTCACTATACGTTACGCCTGTTTGGTTTTTCCCTCCCAAATCAAACCGAGAATCATCCGATTCTGCTTCTTGCGTATAAGTTTCCGTCACTCTGCAACCAAATTCGTGTTCGGAATTTTGGTTTTTCTGGAAATTTTGATTCGAATCATCGATATATACGATATACAATATACAGGTGCTTTCATATATATAGAGAGAGAGAATTAGGAAGAGAGAGAGAGAGGAGGTAAGAGTATGGAGAGGAGTGGTGATGATTTTGGGAAGGAAAGGAAGGAGGCGATGGCAAGTCCGGAGAGAAGCAGCGGCGGTCAGGCTGAGACGTCAATTGACAAATTCGAGGTTTGATTTGGCGATTTTGTTAATTTGTTTTGTTTTTGGATTTTGATTTGGAAAAAAAGGTTTAATGTGATTAATTTTCAAATTCCATCCATGGTTTAGTTTGGTAACTGATCTTAGTTCTGTTACTGAAATTTGAGCTTTAATGTTGAAAAACTTTGAAATCGTTGCTTCGAACATCCAAACTTCATTGCAAGCTGAGTTCATACATTTACATAGCTTTAAAGAAACAATCCTTTCTTCCATGTAGTTGAATTGTAGAATGATGAGTTGATCTGTATTTTTGCAAAGGATCTGCTCGATATTGCCCCTGATTCGTTGGATTTTATGCTTAAGAGGTTGTTCAAGTGTTGTGTTGATCAATCTGTCATACTTTTGGCTTAGATTATTTTACTTCATTTGGTAACATTGATTGAATTCATGAGTGTAGTTAATTGCTATGTGGCTGATTTGTATGGTAGCCGTCATGTTCTTCACATTTTCGACTAATTTCCATTGATTCTCGAGGTTTCTTTTCAAAAAGGGTTATGTTTTTGCATATTCAGACTAATTTCCATTGATCCTCAGTTCTTTGTTTTTTTTTTAAAAGGAGCTTATAGTTTTGCATTTTCGATAATTTCCATTGATGCTTAGGGATTTGTTATAGTTTTGTTGGTGGTATTGCAGGACTCTCCTATCTTTGGTTTTATTAACAATCTTTCACCAATCAAACCGTTGAAATCGACACTCCTCTCTCACTCGATAAATCCTCTTAGTTTCGGCCCAATGCCGTCAGTTTTCACTTCGCCGCAAGTTAATCCTCTAAGGGAATGTCGAATTCTTCGAAGGTAAGTGATAAACACACATGTTTCTATATGTACAATGACATTTTACGACAGCCATTCTCACTTTGTGATGCTCCAGAGATTTGTCGAAACCTGAATTTTCTTCTGGCGATGGAATCACGAGCAACACATACGGAGAAAATGAAGACCACTGTAAGAAACCGGATGAACACGAAGAAAATCCAGAACCTGATTCTGATTCAGCTGCTGAATTATCTAACGAATGCTCGAAGCTTGTGGCTGATTTTGTCGAAAATATCAACAGGGAATCCTCCTCGAGGCCTGGCGACTGTGTTGAAGCCAAAAATGATTGTTCTTGGGGATCTTCGACATTTGCAGGAGAGTGCTCTCAAAGCAGCTTATTAACACAAGTCGATTCAAGGAATTGGGGGAGTTTGATTCCAGAAACCTCAAATCCGTTAACTTTGGAATCACAAAAACCAGTTGATCCAGCTGCAATTTACTACCGAAGCATTAAATGTGCGGTCCAGAACTTAGACTCTAGCAGCGCAGCGTTTTCTAGTGAACTGAGTCGACCTGAAAACTTTCCTGCTCGGCTTGGAGAAGAAACTGAGATTATGGAACATGCTTCGGCTGCTCACGATGGAATGAATTCGAGCGAAAAGATGGAATACGAGGTAAAGTTTCTTCTCTGTTTTTCCCTTTGAGGTAGCATTCGATTTATATGCAAATTTAGTTTCATAGTTTCTTGCGATTATTAGAATTTGATCGAATTATTTTGCATATGAAGCACAGTAACATTAAATGAGCTAATGATCCTGTGTAGAGTTTGCCCTTGTTGCATTCATCTTCGAATCATCGAATGAAAATTAAACTTTCGTGCAATTTTGCTCGTGGATTAGAAGCAGATCCTTTGTTATTCGATTAGAACGCTATACGATTGAAATGTAGTTTATGTTTTACTATTCTTGCAGCAATTATTGGGTTTCTACCGTGGTGTGAGGCGACGCTGTCTGGTTTTTGAGGCGACGGGGGGCAGCCGAAACAATTTCGAGGAGAATTCAGTGACAAATTCTTCTTTATTGCTACAATCAAACGGCAACACTTCTTCGAACCAACAATTAGCGCTATCAAACGCCGCTGGGAATGATTTTTCAGGCCAAGCGTTGCATGGTGTCGGATTGCACCTAAATGCTATAGCGGCGACTCCCAATGGATACAAAATCGTCAATCGTGAAGCTCAGGCTTCGGGAAGACTATTGATCGGCCACAGCTCGTCATCTACCGGTTTCGTGTCTCAAACTTCTAATCAAGTCTTGTTTGAGAATGATTCTGTCGAAAATGGTGCTGTTCCTGTGATCGATCCTTGCAAGGAGTCGGGAGGTATGCCGAAAGAAGAGACCAATAAGAGTTTTCAGAAGAAGAAAAGGTGTGTGTATCTGATTGCTTCTCGATTTCTCGATCAAAATCATTTTCATTACAACCTTTTTTATGACTTACGGATTGAATTCATTAATCAGTGGAAGGATGGAGACGGGCAGCAAGGGAGAATCATGCGGGCGATGCAACTGCAAGAAATCGAAATGCTTGAAACTGTAAGACGAATATATATATATGCGCGTATATGTACTTTTAGCTTCCTATCGAATCTTTATTTTAGTTCCCTTGTGTTTTTATCTCGACTCGTTTAGTAATTGCATAGTTAATACAGATATGTCGTTTTGAAGTCGATCCATTTGTAGTCTAAAAGTTATTATTTTTCGATGAGTAACATTAATCCTGTTTATTTATCGGTATTTTTGTTTTCTTACATGAATGTAGTTATTGCGAATGCTTCGCTGCCGGAACCTTCTGCGGGGAACCTTGTGCGTGTATCGAATGCTTCAACAGACCTGCCAATAAGGAAAAGGTTTCTGCAACGCGTAAACAAATTGAATCGAGAAATCCTCTTGCTTTCGCTCCCAAAGTGATTCGAGGTTCCGATTCTTCATCAGAAAGACAGGTTAGAAGCCAAACATATATATATATATATATATATGTGTGTGTGCGCGCGCTCGATTTTGCTCGATAGTTATATGTGTTTGTTAATCTTGCTTTTCGTTGTGAAGGATGACTCTAGCAAAACACCAGCTTCTGCTCGGCATAAAAGAGGTTGCAACTGCAAGAAATCGAGCTGTCTGAAGAAATACTGCGAATGCTATCAGGTTTGATCTTTTGAGCTTTCGAATAATCGTTGCTGCAGTTCTTTCTGCTCGTCGTTTCGCTTGTTAACTTACGTGGATCATCTCGATTTTTGCTGTTTAAGGGCGGTGTCGGATGCTCGATCAACTGTAGGTGCGAAGGGTGTAAAAACAAGTTTGGTCGGAAAAACAATGGTGAGTTTAGCTTTCAAACGTCGAAATTAAATGCATTTTGCGAAAAAAGGAAGAGATACATAGTGTCTGTTCTTTTAACAAAAAAAAATACACTTTTTTTCAAAAATATTAATATATCATACACATTTATTACTTTTATATTTCATACACGTAAAGATTTTCTCCTTCAAATCATTTTACAAAACAAACACACCCACACACTTTTATATCAGTATAAGATTGACGCGGTTTGAGTTATTTATTTAAATATTGTCTGATGAGATATTTTGTGAAAAGAAAAAATATATATACATATATGTACTAAAAACGCTTTCTATATTTGAAATAGTTTCGAGTATAAGCTCGATGGATACCGAATCCGAATCCGAAGAACCAAAAGCTATTGAGAAGGACGCAAGCGATCGACCTTCGAAAAAGATCAAAATCCAAAACACCATCGAACCAAAAATAGACTCGGCGCCTCCGTCGACTCCATCAAACACCGTAGGGTACGTAATGTACAAATAGTTCATTCCTATTATCGTGATTTGCATGGTTTCTTTTTCGCGACAAATATTTAAAAGTTGAAACACGATTTCAGGCATTTGATCAATCCATTTTTGTCAAAGCCAAAGCTCCCAATGTATCCGGTCCCTTCCATTTGCTCGTTGCCCGGTTTTGCGGGGTTCCAAAAGTCAAGCTTCTTCCCATCACTACCCAAGATCGATCAACGGATGGCAACGGTTGGGGAAGAGGAAATAATAATGCCGGAGTTTCTTCAAGGGGTATCGCCGCCGGTTGGGGCCATCAACTCGTCCTCGCCTAACCGGAAGAGGATTTCGCCGCCTCAACGGTTAGGGAAAATCTCGTCGCCGCCGCCGCCGTCGTCGTCGTCGGGATTGCGAAGCAATAGGAAATTGATACTTGAATCAATCCCATCTTTTCCTTCCCTTGGTTCTTCAAAAAATGTGAGTTCATGAGGTAGTCTTAGTTTTTGTAAGTTAAGTTAAGATGGGGTTTTTTTTGGGGGGTTAAGTTAAAAGGATGTTGTGTTATTTGGTTTTGATCGATAATTTGTTTTGAGTTTTGGTGTTTTTTTTATGGTTTGGGTTTATTTTATAAAATAAGAACTTGTTTTATGGGATGGTTTATGAGTTGAAGAGCTTTATTTATTGATTGATTTTTATTTTTTTTCAATTAAATCAGTTTTGAATTTTGTTTGTTCTTTTAATTTTTTAGTCCCACATACCGCTTCACTACAATATTTTAGGAGGAGAGTAATCAGTAGATAATTAAGAATTAGTAGATAATTAAGAATGTATATTTTCCTATAATATAAATAATTATAAATTAAAATTAAGATAACTAATTAGTTAAATTAAAATTAAAAAAATTAAAAAATTTAAAATGAGATTAAAGTATGTAATCATTTTTCAAAAAAGAAAAGTGACATGGAATGTGGGACGGACCGAAACGGCAACGTGAACATGGTATGTGGGACGGAGGGAGTAAAACAAATATAGGGTTTGTTTAGATAGGGGTTTTTGGAAATTTGAAAGTCTGGAAAAGTAAAAAGTTAGTATTTGATTTGATGTTTTGTGGAAAGAAAAATGTATTTGATGTAATATTTTTAAAAAATAAATAGTGCTTGAAAATGTGCTTTGTAAACAAGGCTATAGTTTTTAATCACAAAAATTTTATTAAGCACATACAAAAAGAAACATTTCTATGCATTTTGTTATGAGAGGTTCATACAAGCGGTAGAATATATAGTTTAATTCGATGGAGAGAAGAACCTTATTAGGGCTTTGAAAGAAAATCGTACCTTAGGAGCGGTGGAATATATAGTTTAATTCGATATAAAGAAGAACCTTACTAGGACTTTGAAAGAAAAATGTACGGTAAGAGTGGCAGTGCATGACTTTTGTCCTTTGTCCGCTCGTATTATAAGGTTTTAGGTTAAGTTTCGTAATAAATTTAAATTTTGTATTTAATTGTCATTTGAATTTACAACTATTAAATAAACTATCAGTGATAAGCCGGAGGAAAGTAAAAATGAATACAAGCCATCCAATGCTATTTGTTAATTTAGAATCAAATTTTCTATCGATGACGGCTCAACGAATCTGAACTTATCAAAATCCACATTAATTGGATTCTCTAGATATAAAATTCACGCTCCGACGGGATCAAACTCCTAACCTTAAGCATGCTAAAGAAGGATTCAATCGGTTGAGTTACATATTTTTGGGAATTAGGAATTTGTGGCTTGGATGTCGATGGAATGATAGTCTTTTTTTTTTTTTTTTTTTTTTTTTTTTCTCTCTCTCTCTCCTCTCAATTTATATCCGTAGTTTGTATCCACTTTTTCTTTTGTATTTATTTTATTTTTAATGATATGAGACTGTAGCTGCTATCTAAAAATCCGCATGGAATAAATAATGGTGTTTCTTATAACACAGTTGAGCTGTATGGTACAAAAGCATTGATTTATCCCTAGTTTGTAAAAAAAAATAATAATAAATCTATATTTTTAATAAAAATAAAATATTTTATTTCATGAAATACTTTCAAAAAATATAAAAGCTACATTACTCAAATAACATCACAATTCCCCATTTTCCTATTTTTCACATTTTTTTAACAATACAAATTTTATGGATTAAAAAATAATACTCTCCGTGCAAAAGAAATGTTTTGCTAGGAATTGGAGCAGAAATTAAAAAATAATACTCTCTCTGTCCTAGATACCATGTTACTTTTTTTTTTTAATATAAAACTGATTACACATTTAATCTCATTTTAAACTTTTTAATTTTATTTTTTTAAAATTTTAATTAAACTAATTAGTTATCTTAATCTTAATTTATAATTATTTATATTATCGAATAATTATTTTTACTAATATATTCTTAATTACCTACTAATTATACCCCTCCTAAAATACCGATATGTGGGAAGAAGGAAGTAGTATTTAATCAAAAGTGGTATAAATTTATAATATAAATGACTAAAATATTTTTACTTTCTAAAAATATAATTATGTTGAAAATATAGTCAGTCATAGATAAGAACATAATTGTACTCCGAACAAGAGTAGAACATGTCAGTATATGATAATCAACAAGGCTAAGTCACCGTGTCCAATTTTAAAAAATGAGAAAACAAATACATTATAGAAAATTATAAAAAAAATAATAATAATAAAATGTAAAAATAAAAAACCCAAATACATAATACTTATATTTCTCAATTTTCAGTTAACTAAAATTTTCCATAGGGAGAACAATTAAAATATAAGATAAAAAGAAAAAAGCATTCATTTTCAAATTTAGAAATTCTATCTCAAAAAAACAATAGAAGAGAAGCTATACCAAATGCACCCTCGTTTCCCTATACTTCAAAATAAATGTACTATTAGATATTTTTATTTCTCTGGTCTAATTTTTTGTACCAAATCCAAGTTGCAACATATACTAGTTTGTCAATGACAAGAATGATGCAAGACGAACCTCTCGCAACTTAGAGATAAATTAAACTTTTATCCAAACCAAACTTGGTATATAGCGACGCGATTCCATGAAGGATGGGCGCACAATAGATCAATCCATGTACGGAAATTTATTTGCCGAATAGAAACTCACAAAAAGGATTAGGGTGCCGTAGTCTCTATCATTTATTTCACAATTTTAGAATTCTACAATGGTGTAGAAAACAAACAAGATTACGAACTTGAGGTCAAGTCAAGTTCGAGCTAGACCATTTTCAAACTAGTCGAACTTGAGTTAATTTTACTTAAACAAGTGCACTAGAACACAACTCAATAAAAAAACTCAAGTCGTGTTCGAAAGTAAACAACTACGGGTAGCATAAGTACTAAATGCTCCAAACGAATTGTTAAGCAACACGGCATATAAACTATTGCTTCTATCACTACAAAGAGGTGGTAAAGTCATCAAAAATGTCTCGGACATTCAGTCGTGAGACTTCTAAAAAATTTCTAGAAAGGCACTTTGCTCACATGAAATAATTGAAATCGAGAGCCAAAAGAAGATTAATAATAATAATAATAATAATTCACTTAGAATCACAAAATGCTACAAAAAAAACCAAGATTTGAGTAATGAATAATTCGGATCAAAAAGAAAATTTCGAAATCAATGAAATCTCATATAGCCCATACGTAAGATTGCTATATCTCTCACTAACTTACCGATAATCAAGTAGTTTCCTCATTCCTGTAGTCTTTCAAGTGAAGTCTAATCAATTTATGCTCCAATAACCTCGGTTGCTTCAGCCATCGGCTCTTCAGCAGGCCTGTCTAGCTTCACGCCAACATCTTCGCTGTAATCACCATGAACCTACGACAATATAATAATTAAAAATATTATGTCAATAAATAGCCCTCACTTCTATCGATGTTTGGCAGAGACAAAAACAAGCAACTTACCTCCATCAACTTGCCAAGGTCAAATTTGGGAGCTTTCAAGATTTTAACCTTACGGATAAACACATTCTGCAGAGGGTAGATACTTGATGTCGCTTTCTCAATTTCTTTTCCAATCGACTCGGGAATGAATTTCTGAACCAAATCCTTGAGATCACATGACTGTGCTTGGTTAATCATGATCTCCCGCATCTTCCTCCGGATCTATCAATACACAATAGCATGGATAGCAATGAAAAATAGTAGATTCGTCTAATGTTACTGGTCTTTAACAACTATCAAGATTAGACAAGAGGGATATAAATATTGTACTTGACGAATCTGGCTCGACTGTGCATAGCATGTCCTCTTCTGCTGGTTCACCCTTTTTTTAGTGAATGCAATGCAGAACATCCTCAAAGTATAGTTGTCAGTTGTCTTGACGTCCACATGGGCCTCAATCAGGGATTGCCATTTGCGCACAAGCGATCTCAATTTATCGGTGGTGAAGTTCATACCCTGCAGAGTTATGCCAAAACAGAAAAAAAAATGTGATTACTTGAAACCAATTCATGAAACAAAGCAGTACAAGAATATAATGATAAGAGATTCAGTTCTTGATACCCAGAAATTAGTGAGGACATTCTTTCCCTGCACATCCTCAGCTCTCAAACGGATCTTTCTGAAAGAATGATCCTCGTCACCTTGAAGGTCAGCCAATGACACTTCAAACACACGGTGCTTGAGTCCTTCCGAAGCAATCTGATACATTAGGTTGTCAGTATTCATTAGGCTCAGGAAACATAGAAGTATGAAAACTGAAAAGGGAACACTTTTTCCAAAAATATGATTCTATTATTAGGATAAGGTACACATGCAAAGAATTGCAGCAAATTACAGAAAATAAAGGAAAATCATAAATTATTTTTGATCTGTTTTTGGCAGTAAATATAATAAAATTAAAATTTACAACTAATTGTAAACATTGAAATTATGAAACATTTTTGGAATGATCACATTGCCTCCTCAAAAATATTTTTATCAAATATACAAAAAACTAATGCCCAAATCCATCTTAAATTTTGTAAGTGCCACAAGTCTCTTGAATACACACATTGATATCTTCTCGGTTTCAACTAAACACATAAAATACACTTCTAATTAGTTTAGTACAGCCTGTGAATGATAAAAAAAACACACATGCCAAAGTAAAATTTTATTTTCCTATACATGGGAAATCCTTCTAATTGGTGAAGAAAATTCCCATACAAAATTGGAAGAGAAACAGATGAAATTGGATGAACAAAATCAATTATTGTTACAACTTTATCATCCAAAAATCCTTGACAGCAAGAAACAACAATTACATATATATAAATTCACTTTTCTTCTTCGCAAACCACTCCCACACTGTAACAAGAAATTGAATATTGTATACTTCCACTACTTTACTCTTCATTCCATAATTTCATCTCTTCTTTAGTCTCGTTTAGCAATAGCACTGGATTATCTTTATAAGCTATAATTTTTTTCTATATTACAAACATAACCCACACTATTAATCCCAATGGGAGGATTGAACAGTGAAACGAAAATGTTGGAAAATATATATGTCACAGCTCAAAAGAAATAAAAGTGACACTCAACGCATATAGACAGACAAAATGATCATGGATCTTTGTGCATTTATCATTCAATAATTCTAATAGCAAAACAAAATCTCACCTTAGTACCCTGAGTACGAGTGACCAAGGTTTTCCCTACGTTTCTTGTGTTAAAAATCGATGGCGCTTTCACATCGTACCAATCTTTCTTAGCAAACGGATCGACCCTAGAAAATCAAAACGAACAAATCAACATTCATTGCGCAACAAATCAATAAAAATAAAAAATAAAAATGTAAACATATTTCGGTAGAACAGGAACTCACGCCTTCTTCTTTCCTCCTTTCTTCCCCTTCGAAATCCTCTTGTTCTTCCTGAAGCAGTGCACAGAAACCAAACCAGCAATTGAGCATGAGCATCCAAATAATCGAAACAAACCTCAAATTGGATCAAACAATCTACATACTTACAATAATGCAAAATTGCGTATTTCAATAATGGTTTAGCTTATAGAGAGAAGTGAAATACCCGACGGCCATTGTGGCGGAGCTGCTGAGCTTCAGAGGATGGACGAAGATTGAAACCCAAGCTTCTCCGCGGAAAAGGCGCCCAACACAAACCCTAGCTGCTGTTTACAGCTTATATAGGTTGTGTTGTTTCAAGTTGGGCTTTTCTTTAATGGGCTTCTTATAAGCCCAATTGTATTAAGTTCTATCTATTTTTTTTATAGTATATAAAATTTTACTTTTGTACTTTTATTTTCGTATTATTTATTAAAAAGTGTATATATATATATATATATATCTATCAAATTTAAACATTTGTAGATAATTTTTTTTTTTATATGGATGATTTTTTCTTAAAAACTTATATAAAATGTTTATTTATATTTTGTTTCAGTTTAAAATATTTCAAATTCAAAATGCTTTTAACAAATTATACGATTTCAAATAAAAATTTACTATTTTATTTCACAAAAATTATATAAAAATACTATTTAAAACAAAAATTAAATTTAAAAAAAAAAAAAAAACCTTAAATTCAGAACTATTCAGAATCAAATACTACTATCTAGCTTATATTGTTTTCACTAAAAAAGCATTATTATATTTTATAAAATGGTAAATTAGAACATTATTTAAATTGAATTTCAAATACATAAAAAAAAAAAAAATTAAACTTAAACTAAAAGCATCCAACATTCAAATTTTGCAATTTCATTTTTTTTTAATAATAAGAAATTGAATTTTGACCATATATAAATAAATATTGAATATCATATTTTGTATAAAATTCAATATAATATTTTAAACTAAAAATATATTTAATATTTTTAAAAATTATATATAAATAGACATTAACATATTAAAATATATTTAATGAATAATATCATATGAGGTTGTTTGGTTTTGGCTCCAATAAATTAAACACTACTCAGTTCATTAAAATTTTACTAAAAAATTATTTATTTTTTTACAAAATATCTTATCAATATATTATTTAAATTAAAAAAAAAAATTCAAACTAAAACCAAATAAACCCTAATTATTTGTATCTAAACAATACACTAAGCTCAAACAAACTATCACAATTCAACCCTTTAATATTGCTTACTATAAAAGTAGAGGAGGATCACATTGTTATTAACATTTGCTTGATATTTTTAGTATATTTACGACATTATAGATCCATCTATAGATCCCTTTAGGTTCTAGGACCTCCGAAAAGTTCGAGTAAGCTCAAGAACAAGTTGATTATGTCCATATAAAGTGCGGCAGCTGCTTCGATGTATTGATCGTAGTCAAATCGTTTGATCACATTATCAGTGTCGTATATGATGAATGCCGAGAATAGCATTGCCCCGAGGAAGCCATACACTTGATTCCAAATATGTCCCATTGGGAAGAGCATCTATCGGCCAAAAGCAAGCAATAAATTAGCACATTTAAAAATACTAATATTATTCATCAAACAGTAATTTGAAAAAAGCAAAATTACTTATGATCTACTTGTGATTTGAAAAGTCTGCACCATTCATCTCTATGGTTTAAAAATTGTATAAAACTCGCATGTGCTTTCGTAACATTGCACACGATCCTTTTTTTCAGGAGATTTTATACATCTCATGCAATTTTTAGGAAATTATGTGCAATATTTTCCAAATACGATAAAGTCTTTTGCAATTTCTAAATCACATGAGTACGATGCCGATTTTCTAAACCACGGGTAAATTTTAAACAATTTTGCCTGAAAAAAAATAGCCATATCAAATAAGTAACAATTCTTCGTTTGTCTTGAAATAATTTTGCATTGCACCCATACTCAACTCTAATGGTTTTAATTCTACATGTGACACTCAACACATTTTTAGAAGTAAGCATTATAACAATGAGTATCATATAAGACTATTTCCGAAAAACATAATAGACTTGAATTATAAAAATTATAAATAATGATATGTATACTACCGAAATTATATCTTTCCCATTTATTTATATAGAAAGAGGGATTGTGAATGCGCACCCTAATAAAACCGAAGGTTATCAGCAACAAAGTGGCGCAAAGCAAGAACGGTGCCAAGAAGCTGAAGTCGAAGCCAAAAGATGCAGCGACAAATGTGAATACGGTGAGGGCAAGAAAGATGAGCGCCGTTAAGCCGGCTGCCAATAACAAAGATTCACCTGATGGAACAAATAATATTTGGTTAGGAATACATTGATACTTTTAGATTGTTTCATTCTTTGTGTGGCATGCTAATACCGGAGAAAATAAAATCTTAAAAAATATGTACTTGACTTTACACACGCACAACGGAACAAGATAGCTCCCTAAATATTTTCTCATCTTTTTCCTTGCCTTGTAAGAGAAATAACATCAACGACAAGTTATATTTGATTTGTGTCGACTAATTTACTCTAAGTGTGTTTGTTTCCGGGATTTTTCCCAAACTTTACTATTCATTCAATTTTTTTCCTCAAAAAAATCAAATCAAACACATATTTTTCATTTTTTATATTATACTAAAAATTAATTTTACAATCAAAACATCACACCTATTTATTTTATATTATACAACTATTCACGTTCAAAATCTTTACGACTCAAATTCCAATCCAAAAACCAAATCTCCAAACAAACACAAGCTGAGACTACCGATACTCAAAAGGTGTCATCTAGGCATCTAGTACCTTCAAAACTCATAATTAAAAAATAAGCATTCTCAATCCGTAGAATTTATGTTTATTTTTCATTTAAATCTATCAATAATTGAAATCTATTATCCAAATATATGCTTATCCTTAAATTACATTAATAATCAATTAAATCAAAATTTAAATAAAATTTTCAAAATATTACTCCATTTGAGTCAATTATAGTATCCAAACATAAAAACTAAAAAATAATAATATTTTTATATAAAAGTAAATATGTAAAAAATAAAACAGTGGTATTATAAAAAATTTATTAAAGAGATAATAATAAAATAGTAATAGAGTAAACAGAGAAGCATAGATAAATTGGTTATTAACGATTAAAATATAAGAACAATAAAATTGTGGATGAATAAAGCTGTTTATTATAAATTATTATGCATAAATTTAGCGGATTGCCAAAAAATGTGAAATAATTATTTTGATGAAGAAAGTATTATGTAACTTTTATTTTTACATTAAAATATATATTTTTTCTTTAGTCTCCATGTGCAACTTTATAGGCGAAATTTTACTGGATCGAAATAGTATAAATTAAAAAATAATTTATTTATCGATATATTGATACTCATACCTGATTTTTGAGTGCAAACAACCCCAACCATGCCAGCCATGGAGATGGTGAAGAGAAACATAAAAATGTAGTTCCAGGGATGGATATGAGCCACGCAATGCATTGTTATGCAAACTGCAAAATATAAAATTTGAATCATATTTTGATGAATCACTTGATAAATCATCATTTATTTATATATATATATATATATCAAGAAGTTTCAAAAAATAAAAATAAAAAATAAAAAAGGCCACAAATCCACATTAATTATTTCAACATAATTGTAGAAATTCAACTACATCCAACAAACAATGAAATCATATATATATCAAGAAAATTCAAAAAATCATAGACTAACCCTAATTATAAACCCTAGGGTGTGTTTGTTTGGCGTTTGGATTTTGAGTTGGGTAACCCTAATTATAAACCCTAGGGTGTGTTTGTTTGGGGTTTGGATTTTGAGTTGGGCTTCGAATAGTAAAAATTTTGAATTTGAATAGTTGTATGATATGATATAAATAAGTGTTGATGTGATATTTTGAATGTAGAATTGATTAACCCTAATAAGTTAATGGACTTCTATTAACATAAATTAAACACCTTAGCAGCCATACGGGGCACTACGGAAAAAATAGTATATTTGTAAAGGAATTTCGTTCACGTAGCTAACGTAATTCCGTCCCTAATTCCGTTTCTAATGATATAATATCATTAGTAATAGAGAAAAAGTGATTTAAGAACAGAAAAATCTTATACAAAATTAATATATATATATTTTTTAGTGGGGAGCTAGTATGTATATATATAAATTAAAAAATAAAATTAAAAATCAAAATTGGCCTTGATCACACCAAAACTTTGAAAATTTTAGCATTATTCAATTTAAAAAAAATATTATATCAAATATATTTTATTTTTGTAAAATATTATATCAAATATAAATTTTTTACTATTTTCAAAATTACAAAACTCAAAAAGTTTCAAAAAATTTCAGTAAACCCTTAAATGAATCATCTAATCAAACCCTAATTGTAAAAATCAACAAGAAACACACATACATATCAACAAAAATTCAAAAAAACAACTTCCAAATTCGATTCCGTAAGATCAAACGAGCTCTCACAAAAAATTGTTAAAGAAATCGATGGATCAAATCAATAAAAACTTACATATAACCATAAGCACGGTGACGACGATGACGACAGCGAGGCCGTCGCGCGTGCGCAGGAAACGCCCGACAGGTTCAACCAAATACATCGCGAGCGCAACTCCAAACGTAATCAGCAGCTGCACGAACAGAATCGAATAAATCTTCCGAACGAATGCCCACCGCATCTGCGGGCTCTCCATCATCCCTGGGTACAGCTTCTCCCCGTTCCCCTTCTCCAGATCGACGTTTTGCCCCGCATAGTACGACGCCATTGTCGCCCAAACCTTGATTTCTAATTTGTACGGATTTTTCCCTCTTTCTATTTATCGATTGATTTTCTTCGATCTCTCTCTCCTCCCTGGAAGAAAACTGACGCAGCGGTTGAGGATTGTGCTTGAAATTTTCTTCAAGGGGTTGAGCGGCGGCGATGAAGGTGTGCGGATTTATACGTCTATGGTGGATTTTGGGGGAAATGGAAGACGAAGAGGAATTGGTGGGAATTTTGAAGGGCTGAAAACGGTTATATGAACAATGGCCACTGTGTGATTGAAAATGGTAAGGCGCCAAAAGGTAGAAAAGAAGTGCTTTCGAACAGAGGTAGGATGTCAAATGGGGCGGGTTTGCCCGCATCCGCCCTGGATCCGGTCTTAATAAGACGAGTTCGGATCTAAAAAATTTGTTTTGGGATGAGTTGTGAATTTAGAGTTTTAGACTCGACGAGGTTCAGGGCAGGTTACGGATTTTTACTATAAATTCACTCCACTTTGGACCCGGACCCGAACGCGAATATTTTAATAATTATTATAATTTATTTATATTTTTTATACAATATAAATTATATTATTTTTTATTTTAAAAAATTAAATATAAAATATAATTATAATTATAATTCTAAATCAAATTTATTTTTGCATTTATTTCTCCTACGATTCTCTTTATAATTGCGACTACGGCTAACTTTCGTTACTACAAACTATCGTCAATATTTGATTGTTCTTATTTTTAGAACTATAATTCTTTTGGTACTTTGATGCATATTTTTTCCAGTATTAAATTATTTTAAAGAAAATTTATTTTATTTATTTATTTTTTTAAAAAAAAAAAGAGATTTGTCGGATTGGCCCCGAACTCGGAGGGTTCGGGGCGGGACGGGTCTTGGGACTGGGTTGAAGTGGGACGGGGCGGGTCTTGGGTCCTAATATTTTCTAGCAGGGCAGGTCTCGGAGCCTACAAAATCCGTCCTGAACCCGCCCCGTTCACATCCCTAAATAGACGAGATTATCTCAAAATTTTCATTTAAAAGAGGAATGGTTGTTATAAGAGAATCCGTTACAGTCACTTTCTTCATTGTCTTTGTGATTATCTTTTCGATTTTTATTACAACAATACTCATTACTTTTTTAATAAAAAATACAACTATTCTAATTTTATTACATTTCTCAAGAACCGATTACCTTCAACAAAAATAATAAAAATTAATTAAGTATTTTCTTTTTTGTTTTTTTTTTAAATCTTAAAATTTTAAATTTTAATAAGAATTATCTATAAATATTTAAAGATCATTAACCAATTATAACGTTTTATCTATCATATTTTAAAATTATTTTTTTGGATCTATTTTTTCTATTAAAAATTTTAAAATAGTAAATTATATGCTTCAAATTATTAAAATTTACATAGATTAATATTTAAAAATTAAAATATAATATTATAAAATATTATTAAAAAATAAAATATAGGAATGTGTATAAATAAATAAATTATTTTTATTATATTACTACATAATAAAAATATATTGAAATAAATAAATTATTGTAGGTATTATAAAATAGTAAATATAATAACATCAAGGTAATAAATAAAGTAATTTGAATATTGAAATTAATATAATGTGGATAAAAAAAATAAAAAAAAATAATAGCTTAGAAGTAATGAACTATAAGTTGGTGAAAAAAATAAAAATAATTAAGTTTTTGTTTAGATAATAATTTTAAGGGAAAAATTTTTAATTTTGGTTTCAATATATTTAAAATTAATTAGTTTTGATTCTAATATAAAAATTTTATCAAATTTTGTCTTAATATAAATTATTTTAATCAATTTTAGTCTCACCACTTAAAAAATTAACAAAAAAAAAAAATGCTGATATAGAAATAACAAAAGTGATGTGGAAACTGATCGAGATAGAAGACACCCGTGTTCTTACCGTCAAGAACATTATGAATCAAAGTAAACGGCTGTACGAGTTATATTTTTTTTGATGGATTTGAAAATAATTTAATTTAAATTTGATATTAAAATAACATATGATGAGATATTTTGTGAGTGTAAAAAATAATACTCCCTCTATCCTACTTAATAATCGTCTACTTTAGTATCAAACAAAACTTTTATTTATTGGTTAATATTTTTTGTAACGATATCACATCATATTTTTATTTGAAGAATACAACCAAAGTAATTCATATTCTAATTCTCCCTACCCAACCGAACCGACCCGACCCGACCCCCGACCCAATAAAGTATGTTTAAGACCGCCTACGGAATTGGGTGGTAGGTAGGGGTAAAATAGTCTTTTAAGATCGACCCAATAAAGTATGTTTAAGACCGCCTACGCATCCCCATGTTCAGGAAGATATTTTAACACGACCATCGGCGTGGATTCTCACTTAGGAGCAGAATTCTGTTGGGCGAAATGGGGTCTCTTAGCAAGGTATGAAATTTCTACAACTGGTGATTGTTTTTGATATTTTGGTGTTATTTTTCTGCCTAATTTGATCCGGCGATTGGTAATTTCTGTGGCCGTGCTGTCGTTTGGTGGTTTCGAAAACCCTAACACTACAGTGTGTTCTGAATTTGTGATGCTTGGTCCCGTGGAGTTGGAGCTTGATTGCTCGTGTAATCGTTTCGTTTGCTTCATCAGTACTATGTATTTCTGTATACAAATCGCGAGCTTCATCTTCGTGTTCTTGGTTGAAGCTAATGTTTTTACCTTGATGTTCAGAGAGAAGAAATAAATTCTTTGATTTGATGATGTTGATGCTCTTGAATTAATTTTTCACTCCAAATTTTAGGTGTTTGTATAGGGATGTAGTTTTTTGTTTATTTATTTAATAAAAGTAGTAATTTTTTCTCTGTTTATTATTAATGAGTTATTAATGTTTGTATTTTGTAAAAACTTATGCATAGTGTAAAACGAATTAAGAGTTTTGTCTGCGTTTTGGAGGTTTTGGATCAGATATTTTAAATGGAAAGTAGAATGTTTTGAATGAAATTCGGTTTTAAATATTATTATTATTATAAACAATGTTTGGGATTTTGGTTTTTTGTTTGAATAGTGGTTTGGATGTGATGTGTATTTAGAGGAAATAGTGGGTTTGTTTGGTTTTGGTTTGAGTTTGAGTTTTTTTTCGACAAGTTCTAGTTTCAACAGCATTTTAATGTGATATTTTGCGAAAGAAAATAGTGTTTTTACTGCGAACTGTGTGGATTGAATAGTTCAGTGTATTTTTATTGGGAATCATTAGGGTTGAATAATAAAAAATGTTTCATTTCCGAGTTGTGAAATACTCAAAACACATCCGAAAAGGTTTTACACAATAGCTTGCTATGTTCAAGTCACAAGTATGGTTACGAAAAAAAAAAAAAAAAAAAAGGTGTAAAAACAGATCCCTCTTTTTAATATGGCGAGCTTGCATTGTTAGGTTCCTACAGAATCTTAAAGGCTGTATGAGACTTGTTAATACATGAGAAGTGGGCTATAACAGATATTTTGTTATCCCTTCTCAGACATGCATCATTTAAATTTTGCGGTTGATAGGCCAAGATCAAATTGCACTAAATAAAAACTCTTCCGATTAATAATATCTTTGCCAACAATTGGGTTTCCTGCAGGATGACAGGGCGGAAGTTATTCAGGCCTGGTACATGGATGACAGTAATGAAGATCAGAGACTGCCGCATCACCGGGAACCAAAGGAGTTTGTGTCTTTTGAAAAGCTTGATGGTATGCATTTTCGGATCTCCATGTTACTCGTAAAAGTTGATGTCTTTGCGTAGTGAATCAGAAACAAACAGGGCAATTATAAGGATTTGATTGATAATCTTAAATCGTGTATATCTTCCCAGAACTTGGAGTGCTCAGCTGGAAGCTAGATGCCGACAACTATGAAACTGATCCAGAATTGAAAAAAATTCGTGAAGATCGTGGATATTCTTACATGGTATACATTTTCATAGAAATATAAACTTCTTCTGTCTGACAATGCATTATGATTTAGGAAATCTTTACACATTAAGTAATGATTTATTATTACTATATTACCCCTATTGAATTGGATGGTGCTAATAACGACGGTGAGAAAAGATAGGCGTAATCCAATGGCAAAATTGTAATAAAATCATATTCTGATCTTGAGTTTTCGAAAGGACTTTAATTCTAGACAAAAAATTTTATTTCTGGAGGACACTTGTAAGATGAAGGGGCTTTTATATTTCAGGTGCATTTGTTTGGGGGTTTGGATTTTGGATTGAGATTTAAATAGTAAAATTTTGAATTTGAATAGTTGTATGATGTGATCTAAATAGATATTGATGTGATATTTTGAATATAAAATTAATTTTTAGTATAATATAAAAATCGGAAAATAGGTGTTTTGATTTGATGGTTTTAGGGAAAATTTTTTTTTAGTGAATAGTAGAAATTGGGTAAAGTTTGATAAAAGAACACACCCTTCGTGTGAATCTCAAATACAATTGAAAAACATCTGTTTATAGGACTTCTGTGAGGTGTGCCCAGAAAAATTGCCGAACTATGAGGAAAAGATCAAGAACTTTTACGAAGAGCATTTGCACACGGATGAGGAGATACGCTACTGTGTTGCGGGAAGTGGTGCGTTCTTTAATACTGATTTTAAGATATTTTTTATGGATTTTTCTGATAATCACAGTGCTTAAAAAAATTGTTTCATGGTTAAGGTTATTTTGATGTCCGTGATGGCAATGAAGCTTGGATTCGCGTTTGGGTGAAGAAGGGGGCCATGATTGTTCTTCCAGCTGGAATTTATCACCGTTTTACACTTGATTCAGACAACTATATTAAGGTATGTCGTAGAAGAGTTTGCACTGACATACTTGGAAATCCTTATTTAATATAATGAATGATGATATTTTTGTATGTATACGAACAGTGTTAAGTTACTATGCAGAAGCTGGGCAGATTTAATGCATCGATCTTGAGACATCTGGCGTGCAGTTAAATTAGATTAGAAAATCTCAGAGATTAATATATGTTCTTCAGTTTGATGCCTTTTTCTTGAAGTGGTTCTGTGTATTCCTACATGTTACTTGAGATGATGCGCAATCGAATTCTTACACAAGTACTTTCATGTTAAAAAAAAAAATTTGGCAAAATTGTCCATAACTTCCTTGTGATTTTGAAAGTCAGTGTAAATCTTCCTATACTTTTAAAAATTGTATGGCGTCCCATTATACTTTAAACAAACATTGCATGAAATTCTTTTTTATATTTTTTGTGTGATGAGAAAATGATTTTTCATCTATATTTTTTGCATGACGGGGGTTTCATGCAATGACACTATGCAATTTTTAAAGTATGAAATTTATGCTGAATTTCAAACCACAGGAAAATTGGGCAATATTGCCAAAAAATTTGGTAGTGTATGCAAGATTTTAGTGGCGGTTCGATCTGTTTAATAATTGCAACCCCAAATGAAGTAATTATTGGGAACCTTGCGGACTGAGTAGTGGTGTTTTTTATTTTAAATAAAAAAATCACACCCCTAGATTGGGTAATTATGACCTGTATTTGCATACATTTTAACTATTATTTTTTACTCTAATTTAATTTAGTGAATCCGATTTTAACTAGAATTGAAAAGGCAAAGATTTTGGAATCAGTTCCTTGTAGGCAGCAGTTTGGATTGCCGCTTGACTGTGAAACTATCTTTGCAGGCAATGCGACTCTTTGTGGGCGACCCTGTTTGGACTCCGTATAATCGCCCTCACGATCATCTTCCTGCAAGGTACAGTCTTATCTGTGAATAAGAATGATATTAATGGAAGACAAATCGATAAAATAGAAAGATGCATATATACTTGAAAGAAAGGCGATGCATAATTTACTGTGTTTATGAGCAGGAAGCAGTATGTGGAAACTTTTCTGCAGGAGGATGCCAGTCGAGCCGTTAATGCCACAGCTTAACGCTTTAGATATATACATATACATACATACATACATACATATATATATATATATTGAGAGCCTTGTAGCTTTCCCTGAATAATGCGTTGTTTGTGTCTGTGGAGCGCTGTGGTCGAACACTGATCATTTGAGTAATGAGTTGCGGTCTGAACTGCTCGTCTGCTCAACTCGTTATACTACCGAGGTGAGTGCACTTAAACTAAAAAAAAAGTGAATAATTGTGCTGTTAGATTTATATATGTATGTATCTGTGTGTTTTTCTACCTTGTGTTGTTTCTTTGGCATTCTTGCTATGAACGATCCCGTTTCTGGAAAATGAAGCATCACTTTTGAAACGACCGTAAGTTTGGCTGTTCCATTGTTTTACAATGTTTGTATAGGCTTGATTCTGTAGTTGATATAAATGTTTGTTGTCGAATTTGAATTTGAGCCAACCCTATTCTGAATTTTTGAATAAACCATATAGTGCCTTTTCATCCATAAAATCGAAAAATATGCATACATGTAGTTCGGCTTATAGGTTTCGAATCTTTTGTTACGACAGGGTTTTTTTTTTTTTTTTTTTTTTTTAAACGTGGAAATTTGCAATCGTTATTTGGTATGTTTACTTTTGAATTTTGGTACTTCTATTGCAATTTTCGGTTGGATGGAAATAACATATAGAGAAAGAAAATGAATGGGTATGTTTGCCTGAGTTTGGTTTTAATTTGTTTACATACTACTGTTGCAATATTTTTATTTTTATTTTTTTTTGTGTAAAATGTGCTATTTTTTTCTTTTATAAAATATTACATTAAAATTCCTAATAATCAAAATTTAAGTATACTTGTATAATCTTGTATTTGGCTGAAAGGATTTGGAATGGGGGAGATTGAAGAAATTTTTCGTACTCTTCCTAAAAGAAATGGTAGCATAAAAATGAAATTAAATTGAATTTTTTAGTTCAGAATAATTATTACTCTCTCCGTTATTTTTAATATCTAAGTATAAATTTGTCAATTCATGATAAAAAGACAATAATCTAAAAATTTGTGCAAATATAGTTTGGGACAATAGAAATTGAACGAAGGGAGTATTATTTTTTTTTTTCAGTTAAATAATTTTATTCATCTACCATTTTTTTTTTATATTTATTTTAATAAATAATTAATTTATCAATTTGTTTTTTACTTTATCTTATTATTTTAGTATTAACTTTTAATTTTTTATTTTTTATTTATAATTCCTATATATATATATATCTATTATATTTTCTCAAATCAAAATATTACTGTATAAGTAGTTTTTTTTTTAGTTTATGTGCTTGAGTATTTTAGTAGCATAATCAATTCCTACGGAAGGAACCGAAGAAGTACAATTTATTTCATTTTTTTTTTCCCTTTTAAATGTGTATAAAATTTATTTTTATTATTTTTTGTCCAAACCTTTTCTTTTGTTTCTGTTCATTGCACCATCTACGACAGACCTTAGTTAGAAAGTTCAATATCTGGACAATAGAATTTTATGATATAATTATTATTATTATTATTATTGATTAGCATATCTTAAATATATTAATTTGTGTATCTTTTGTATATATGTACAAATAACTTGTAATTAATTTTCAGTTATATATTTTACCAAACATAATAATGAATTTTTATTTTTTGTAAGGGGTGGATAGTCTATGTAATAGTTAAGGGTATGTTTAATTTTAAAAAAATTGATACTCCTTTGGTTCATTTTAAAAAGGGTCATTTGAGATTTTGTAATAAATTAAGAAATAATACTTCATTCGTCCCATATAGTATGAGTGTATTACTGTAATGCAGAAAAAAATATAATTAATAAGTAATTAAGAATTGTATTAGTAAAAATAATTATTGTATAATAAAATAATTATAGATTGAGATTAAGATAACTAAATAGTTTAATTAAAATTATAAAATTTGAAATTTAAAATGTGATTAAAATATATAATTATATTTAAAAAAAAAGAACAAATTACTGGTGTGTTTGTTTGGAGATTAGATTTTAAATTCACTATTCATCTTTTTTTTTTCAAAAATATTAAATCAAACATTCATTTTTCATTTTTTATATTATACTAAAAATCAATTTTACGTTAAAAAACATCACATCAACACATTTTTTTTACTCTTCAAATCGAGAGAGTAGTATTTTATAGGATGGTGGAAGTCTGTAAGAAATTTTAATGTTTAAAGTAATTATATGTGTAATAGTATATTTGTAATTTAAGTAAAAATATATTATTATTTTACTTTGAATTAAGACGGATGAGAGAGTATATTTTTAAAAAAATTAATATATAATATATATTTATTATTTTTATATTATTTGCACAATATTTTATATTTTAAATAATAAAAAAAAAATTCCTTCAGACTTGTAACTGAAGTTTAACTTATGAGGCCACTTTTGCTCATTTCGCAATCCTAAACGGTTACAAATACACAAATACCAAAGATAAATAAATTTCAAAAACCGCAGGAGCCAAACAGCGCCTTGATCAAGAAGGGCGATTTCGTCATTTCGCACCCACTTGTCCGTTGCCATTTATATCAAGTACGGCCTCCTTCGGTTTCACCTATCAACTACCAAGGCCTATCCCAAAAATAAATAAATAAATAAATAAACAAATTAATTAAAATTAGAAATTCCACAGCGCATTTATTGCCATTCCAAAGCAAAGCCTCTCTGCTGCGTCAAAACCTTCGCAGCAGCACTCGGTCGTCTCGTCGTTCATCTTCCAGATCCATCCGCCACTGTCGATTCCCTGCGATCGTCGCCGCATTGGCGCTGCACCATGGGCGGAGTGCCATCGACGCCGCGGTCGGCCGGCGAAGCGCTGCCGCAGGAGAAGGCGGAGTACTTGATCAAGGCGTTTGTCGATGAGAAATCGTTTCCGCTTGCCTCCAGTTACTGGCAGCGCCTCCTGGAGTTGCCGCTCGATCTTCGATGGCCGCCTGACCGCGTTGCCCAAGCCTGTCATCTCTTCGGTTAGTGCATTGCTCCATCGGATTTCAATTCTGTAGAGCTTGTGTTGGCATTTCATGATTTTTTTGTGTTCTCGAATTTGGCTCTGAGGATTGAAATTGAGATCCTGTTTTGCACTCGGAGTTGAAACCGTGTTGCCATTTCTCGTAGGAGAGTCGTTTTTTTTATGGCGCTTGAGAGTCATGAATAGCTTCCATGTTGAGTTGATTAATTTTATAACTTTTAGAGTGACTCAGTGAGTAATACTTAATTCACAGCTTACAATTGATTAGTCGGAGATATAATCCATTTCTATCTTGTATGTAAACGAGTCAGTTCATCTTAGGTATTGCTGCTAGTTTAATTCAATCAATGCTTTACGACGAATATACAAATTAAAATTTGTAAGCAATATGTGTCTTGGTTGTGTGTCGATTGGTGGCGTCCTGTGATTCTTAGGCGCCGCAATGAATTTCATTTAATATCATGGAATGAAGTTGTGTTTGGAAGAGTAAATTTATGCTGTCAATTTGCTCCTTAAATGTATGTCTGAGTTCTACATTGACTCAAGGTTAAAAGAATGATAAAAGATATGATCGCTAATGCTCATGCAACTACGCTTTATTGTGATGAACTTTCACTGCCCCGGCATTTGTGGGTTTATGATGGTGTTATTCATGAGCGAACACGAGACTGGTATGTTTAGGTTCCTATTGCATGTGTACAATAGTGTTGTGCTTTTTTTCTCATTGTGAATCCCTTTTTAGTGAAATAACAATGAATTTTTTGTGCTTTGCTTCATTGCTGAATCAATTGGGTAAAAGCATGTTTTGCCTGTTATTAGGCTACTTTATCCTTTAAACCAAGCTTTTCCCACCAAATTCTGTTTCGTTTCATAAATACGCTACCGCTTTTTTATATATATCCCCAGGAATTTCGCATGTCCTGTCAGTCCCACAATTTACGAACTATTATAGGTATATTCGAAAAAAGAATGATTTTTTAAAATATTGTGATGTTCAATCCGATTTATTAATATATTTGTAATCTCTTAGGCTGGAATGATTCAATGCTTTAAAAGTATGATTTTTTTTATTTCTTTTTTCCTTCTGAGACATTGAATATGAATTGAAGAGGATTTACTTATAATATCTGCTTGTTTTTAGAGTTTAATGTATTAGCAATTATTCTGGTAGTTTTTAGAATAATGTAAAAACGAATGCCAAAGTTGTAAATTGTAAATGATGTTATGTGTTGAAACAATAAAGGTAAATGATCATGCGCTTTTGATTTGATTCAGTTGTATATTCTTGTGATATATTTCCATATGTCTGTCTGATTTTCTTTTTGGCACATATTCCTGCAGCCATGAACAATTATAAAACAAGACACCTTGCAAAGAGTTTGATACACTTATCATGGTGCTTGCAAGAGTGTGTTTCTGCTTCTGCTGTGGCGCATCCAGCTTTCTCAAAATCTCGTAATGCACTATATCAATTGTCTGTTTTTCTGAAGTATCTAATCGAAAATGGAACAAGTGACAACTTTGATGAGCTCTGCCTATCGCTAGATGACACTGAGCCAATACCCAGTAATTTCTCAAAAGGTTCACTTTTCCGCATAACTTTTAATGCTTTCACTTTAAAACAGGCCTCTCATTATATAGTAGTTTTGATTTTTATTTAATTCTCTACCTTATATTTCTCAATTTTTCCCTTTAATACTTATATCTATATATTTCATTGTGAAGAAATTTAGTTTGAATTAATGCTTTCATATATTTAGTATGCCAGTGTAGTCATGCACACGTTTTGTCACGTTGGTGTATGATCACTCCCTTCTTTGTATTTCCTCATCTGGTGTAAGACTTGATTGAACTATATAAACACAAAAGAATGAAATAGCTTTCACAAGTGAGTGATTAAGAGTAGATATGCTTGCATTAAACATCCTCAGAATAGGAACTTCCTAACAATTCAGCATGTCTCAGGACTGAAGAAGAGTTACGTCGTCACTAATAGGAACTTCTCACGCCGCTCCGATTTTCTTGTTTCTCTGCATTTTAACTTTGAGATGGATGTTTTCCGTGTGTATATTTTTAACTCTATTAGTGTCAAGATTTTCTGGTAATGAGACAAGTATAGAAATATAATTTTTTCTAATGTCATTAAAATCTAGTTTAACAGAATATATCTGGTCATGGACATATTGATTTCATGAAACATGGTTCTTTCTCAGTCGACTTGCATTTGTTGTTAGTTCTTTTATTGAATGCCTAAAACTTTATTTTCTTAGATTAAATATTTCTTCCCTTGTATATTTTCTTTAATAACTATTTCCTTATTTGTAATAATATCTTCTTTCCTTTCACCTTCTAAAGCAGGTGAAAGTATTGAAAGACTTGTTATGTGCAATGTGCTGAACTTCATTGCCAAAGTTGATGTTAGGTATGATTTGGTTAGCGATTTAGGGTAGTTATTAATGCACTCTTTATATTTGTTTTTCCCTAATTTACGCAATCTTCTAAATAAGCCCTGAAACATACCTTCTGCATCATGAGCTGCTTAATTTCATGCTGATTGCCATGTCAACTCAACTTCGCTCTGGGCCATCACCAGGACTGAATGATGTGCACCCTTTTCTTGATGCAGCAATGCTTCAGGTATATGGAGACGAATTCACATGCCAAAATGTTAATCGTCTCATGTTTTTCCTATATTAAATTGGCTGTTGTCTGTTCAGGAAAGTTCTCTGGTAAATTTGGTTGTTCGTAAGTTAATGCATAATTACATTATGCGAACCAAAGTTCCATTGAACAGTTCGATTTATGCCATACTCTATGAGGGAAATCAGGATGGTATTCTGAAAAAAGTTGGCTCAGCAGCTGGTACGTTAATATAGAAAAAGCATACCCCTATCTGAGTCATATGAGATTATTTTCTCACATTTTTGTGGGGTTTTCATTTCTCCATGTAAACTCTTTGAACAGAGGGGTGTCGTATGTCAAATTGATTATCTGTTGTATGCTTAGACTTATGTAGCTGAATGAATACCTGTGGAATAAATATATTGGTTTCTCTTTATACTGATGATTGTGCACTTGTTTTCTCACTTATTATTGTATTATATTTCAGTTTTTCTGTGCATCTTTGAAATGCCGTTTATTTGTCCTGTTAAGCTATTGTTTTTAACACCTTTTTAAATAGCTCTTGATTTTTCTGACTGAGATATATTGGTGCTTGCAGCAAATTTGATGCTATTGCCGTTTAGTTATTTAATCAGCTCAACTGGTGAAGGCTCAAGAAGTCCATTAGCCGAAAGCAGTCTTAATGTTTTACTTATTCTCAATCATCACCATAAATGTAGTTCAGTGGACTATTTAATGGATAAAGTTGGTTCATATTCACTTCAGAAGGAAGAAGTATATATGGAAAACCCTTTCTGCAAAGCAATACAAAATGTTCAAGATATTGAATGTAAGATCTTGTGCATTGCCTGATTCTATTGCTTGTTGGCAACATTTATATAATCTTCAACAGCTTTTAAGTTTCTCAGTGTTTACCCGCAGTTAGTCGTATTGATATTGAGGGGATCGTGCACAGTGATACCGTGATGCGGCTGCCTTTTGCTTCACTTTTTGATACTCTTGGCATGTGAGTGTTTCAATTCAATGGGGATGTATGACTTATTAGTTACCGAGTCTCTTGAGATATTCCTTATAACAGTCTGAAATTCTCTACAGTGGCATACACTGTTTTTGAATTTTAATTGAGCTGTATTCCTTTTCTATCAGATGTTTGGCTGATGAAACCTCCATCCTGTTGCTTTATTCTCTGGTGCATGGAAATTCATACTTTTTGGAATATGTTCTGGTGCGGACAGATTTGGATACACTGGTATGTACAATGCTGCCTTGCATATATTGCAATAATGCAATGCAAATCTTTTATTTATTAATTGGCTTCTTTCTGTGACCCTACAGATGATGCCCATGTTGGAGACGCTGTATAATGTTCCGAGAAGGACAGCCAACCATATTTATATGGTCCTAATTATTCTTCTTATACTAAGTCAAGATTCCTCTTTCAATTCCAGTATTCACAAACTGGTAAACATAGTTTCTATGATATGCATATAGGTTCAATAATATAAGGTCTTAACAGAGTTAAAATGGTACAGATTCTTCCTAGTGTTCCATGGTATCAAGAATGTCTCCTTCATCAAATTTCTCTCGGTTCCCTTATGATCATAGTTTTAGTCAGGACTGTGAAGTATAGCCTCTCTAAGCAAAGGGTAAGCTTCGATGCAATTGTTCTATCTTTTTTGTATTGCATCAGAGTCCACATTTGAGTATTTTCTACCTTATTGAAGATTATTAATTATAGCATGTTGGTTGATCTACATTATGATTGTCACTGTCAGAAGATTATGTTCAAATGTTCTTCCAGATTACTCAAATTGTTTGTGTCTATATTCTTAATAAGGAGCCGAAGAGCAACACAATGGAAAATTATAAGCTCATAAAAGTTTAGTTAGTAATATATTCTTTCCATAATTCTATCCAACAGGATGTCTATCTTCATACGAATTGTCTTGCCACTTTAGCAAATATGGCGCCACATGTCCACCGTCTATGTGCATATGGATCACAGCAGTTGGTCAGCCTTTTCGATCTTCTAGCACGCAAGTATGCCTTTTCTTTTGATATATTTCTGTACTTGGTCAATACACGTGTTTCATGTTTAGATTCTCCATTTCTTTTGATATTACGATATCTTGATGTTTAGGTACAATAAATTAGCAGAGGCCACAAACGATAAGATGAATATGGAAGATGGTGATCTAAGTGGAGATGGCCTTCTCGAGGATCCGGTAATAAGTTCTTGTCACCATTATTGTTTCTTCAGTTTCATGTCTATCCGCACTGGTTTCTTACTGAGTCCTGATGTATCATGAGCCCTTCTGTCTATGCTGCAGTCGTCGGAATTGCATATTTATGCAGACTTTCTTCGACTTGTTCTGGAGATACTCAATGCAATCCTCACTTATGCTTTACCAAGGAATCCTGAGGTATCAGATATTGCATTTGGTTACATGATCAAATGCTGCTCATCCATTTGTCGTTAAATCACTTTTCTTACTGGATCTATAACTTCCAGGTCGTATATGCAATTTTGCACAGACAAGAAGTTTTTCTACCTTTCAAGGGCCATCCGCGGTTTTGTGAGCTGTTGAACAATATATATACGGTATGTATGCTGCAAGAACTATTCGATTCCAGTGCGATAAATTGATTCTGAAGATGGATGATATTTCTTGTGTCTAACTTTTACTCCAAAATCTTTTCTGTTATAATAGGTTTTGGACTTCTTCAACAGCCGAATAGATGCTCAAAAGATGAACAATGAATGGTTCGTTGAAAAAGTGCTTGAAGTCATAATTCACAATTTCCGGTATTGGAGAGGTGAAGGCATTATGGTATGACCCAAATTCATTGCACAAGCTGTTACCTTCAGCATTTGCGACGTTCTACATTATCTTTTATCTTATCCCTTCTTTTGTTAAAAAGGTATTTCCCCAACTATGCTTCATCTACGAACAAGAGAGTCATCCCGAGGAGTTCTTCATTCCGTATGTTTGGCAGTTGATACTCTCTCACGGGTATGCCTTCTCTTGCATCATTATGTTAATTCTTGACTACTTTTGCATTGTTTCTATACCTACATGCTCTTGTTTCTTTCACATATGGCATCCATTGTTTTTTTTAGCTTGATTTTGTCTTTGTTTCTGACTATTCCCGTATTTTTCCTTTGTTCTGCTGCAGCGGTTTTACATTCAATCCAAGCAACATAAATTTATTTTCAGTTCCTGTAGAAGTAAGTGACATTACCGAGCACATAATTCTACTGCATTTTTAAGATCATACCGTTTGTGTTTTTTATTAAGTTCTTTTGGTTGTTCTTGGGACGCATGTCTAGCACAATATATTCATGATCACAACTTATTGACTGAATCTTGCTCGCACATTTTAGGTTGAGCCTTCGTCATCTTGTAAGTAAAATCCTAACTAAACTCTTGGATCATAACATTCTTTTTTGAAACAAACATTCGAGCCAAACAACTCCGTTAGTATCTAATGCTGTCTGAATCTTCTTAGAGCAGAGTCATTTCTCGAATCTACTTTCATAAGCTTCTGAAACTTTTGGTGTATCTGTTCGATGCAAAACTTCATTTATGTAGCATCTGTAAATTGATTCCGTTGCTGCGTCTTAATCGACACAAAACTCATTCTGCTACTATTGTTGTATACATGATTTTCGAGAAAATCAATGTTTGGCTGTCTGCGCATAACATTGACTCCTCGTGCTACTGCAGGATATACACTACGAATTGGAAGCGGACAAGCTCCAAAATCAAGAACTGAACTCGAAGGAGGAGGTCTAGTTCATCCAAAAACATCGGGTAAATGTACATACATAGGTACACACAACATAACATAGGAGCTTGCCTTGGTAAGTGAACGATACACAGTCTTAGTATTCGGGGTTTTTGTAAGAACGTATTATTTCCAAATGCAATAACTTCATCGGAAATTTATATTCTTGAACATTCGCATACGGCGTATCAATAAATTCTCCCGCTCCATTAAATTCATTTCATCTCCAGGGTATTTGCTAATCTGTAGGAATACTTGGTGAAGGCCCCGAACTCCCTCTCGCCCGCAACTTGATCGCTCGAAATTGTCGTGGCGATCTCATCCAACTCCTCTGGCGTTAGCTTCACCGCAAAGGACCCAATGTTCTCCTCCAGGTTCTTAATTTTCGTAGTCCCTAAACACCATCTCATTTTCACACAATCACAACACTTTCGAACCAAAAACCTCGTATACAAACATATATACACACACGTTTGTATGTATGTATATCTGGTATTGGAACAATGTCGTCTCCCTGACGGAGAAGCCATACTAGAGCGAGTTGAGGCCAGGTGCACGAGTGCTTCCCCGCCAAACTCGCAAACTTGGCGTACAAAACTTTGTTCTTTTCAAGATTCTCCCACGTGAACCTCGGGTGCACGCCCTGCACCCGATTTCGCGACGAAAGTGTTAGGACGTCGACGGATAAAGGATAGGACAAATAATGAGCTATTAGTATATTCTTACCAAAAGGCTTTCTGAATGAAGCCTCTCTACCATTCCTTTCCCACTGAAGAATCCATGGCCAAGAGGGCTATATGCTACTAACCCAATTCCAAGTTCCCTATTTCAAAACAAAATCGATATGTCCCGTAAGGGATGACCTGGTGCTGTGGGAAGTGAACTTGTCACCGTTCATGGATTCAAAGCCTCCAGGTTCACCTACCACACATGGTTCGCCTAGTATTACCTGCCTTGTTGGACCTGATTTGCAGGGTATTAGGTTTGGCCGGAGGTTTACCTAATGTGCACTTTCGGGTAGCAGCTGTGGATTCCCGAGGGCTACTCTTTAAGTGTGCACTAGTTAGAACAACCAACATTTTTTCTTTTTTGATAAGCCCGAAAAGACAAGTCACACTAGGCGAATCATATGTGACAGGTGGACCTGGAGGTATCGGGGTTTTGAATCCATGAACTCACAGTTAAGAATTCACCCTAACACCACCAGGCCGTTCCTTACGGGACAACCAACATTTTTATTACAAGATGGATGCTTGTTTCTTGCAATTTGGCGATTGCAAGATTGTCCTTTTTCTCCGTAACCCCCTCAGGTTTGAGAAAAGTTATCGATTCAAGTCTAGTCGAGCTAAAGGACTCAACGTAATTTGATCGAATGAGAGATCTAACCTGCATCCGAGCTTTGAGTTGCCCGTAATGGTATATCTTGTTGATCGGTGACAAAATAAATCAAGGGAGATGTTTGCGAGGCTTAGTTTTCCTCTTCTTCGAAAACTAACCTACAAACCGGGATGACATCCTCCTCGATCTCACGGCTCCACAACGAGTACTCCATTTGCACGGCGGTAATAGGATATATCGTATGCGCCCTCTCGATTGTGTCAACGCTAGCTTCAGACAACCCGATGTATCTAATCTTTCCTTCTTCCACTAGCTTCTTCAGCTTTCCCATCTTCATCGACAAATTACGATCAATCCCTTAAAAATCAAGAACAAAAAACATCGAAGCAAGTAAAAAATGTCGAGTCGAAGTAGTGTGTTTGTGGTACTCACAGTTTCCTCTATAGGCATCGATGGGTCAATGCGATGGGGATAGTACAAGTCAATGTAGTCGACGTCGAGCCTCTTAAGGCTGGCTTCGATGCATTGGCGCAAGTACGCCGGGCTTCCCTTGACTTGAACCTCATTTATATTCGGCAAAATAATCCCAAATTTACTTGAGAGCTGAATTTGCTCCCGAGGCAACGCTTTTAGCGCCTGTAACAATGTAGCGCGGGCAATGTGATGCTCGAAAACCTCGAAGGAAACCCCGAAGGAAATTGCTCAACATATATGTGTAGTCGATGAATCCGTCGTATCGAATTATTTCGAAACAATTGTAGCATGTTCTTGAGGCTCCTTATAGAGCAAGAGATCAAGAAATCGAACTAGAACGATCACACAATGATGTGATAATGTGATTATCTAATTGAATATATATATATTGTATTTTTTTAAAAATATTTACGGAGAATTGTATCACCCAAAAATACTGAGTGTGTTTGCTTAAAGAATTTTACAAAAATCTTATTATTCACCAAAATTTTTCTTCAAAAAATCAAATTAGTAAGTATTTTTATTTTGTATATTATACTTAAAAATTAATTTTATATTCAAAGTATCACGTGCGGACTATTACAATTCGAAATTTATATGTCTTTGATCGATTTGTTGGAATTGGTACTATCTTATTAATATAAATGAACAAATTAAATGCATGCACTCTACAATGTGAATGGTTTGAAAAATAAGTACATGCTATTTGCAGTGGATCTTTTACAACATCAATTTGGATTATAGATCTTTTTCATTTAACAAAAAAAACTTGATCAGCGAAAATTTCTATAGAAGTATACACTTTATTTTCTAAATTAATCATAAATAGACATTTTTTTTAATAAAAAAAAAAAACAAAATAAACTCAATTAAAAAAACACATACATATACTTTTTTTTTATTAATATTATAGAAAAATCTGATGGGCAGATATTGACTTGGTCACGCTAGCACCGTGCTGATTCGACAAAATCAATATCCTAACATCAAGGAATCAACATTCAATGAAAGACCGACAATATATATTGTATATAGAGATATGTATTGTTCAGTATATATAATATATTGTTATATTGTATACATATGCTTATTGTATTGAAAATTAAATACTAATATATTATGTTTTATGTTATATTATCTGTTAGAATATATGTAATATGTTTTATGTGATTCATGTTGTTGTGTTAATATATATACGTTGTGTTTAGTTTGCATTTTTTAGTATTGATAGGTAATATAAAAAATATATCTTTTTATGTTAAATTATTGATTTTTTGTTAATAAATAATATATGTATATGTTATGGCAAAATGGATGCGGATGGAATCGATTCTAATAAATGAATCCGGAGTCAATTTGAATCATTTGATATTATAAAGATTAAAGGAAATTAATTTAAATGAATTTAGAAGGCGGTCTGCAAAGTAAGGAAAGTACGCTGCAGGAAGGAAAACAAGTTATCGTAAAAACGTAAATAATTAAACCTTATTATTTTTTTTTTTTATGACTAAGGGATCTACCCAAAAGTGTACCACTTCACACTGGAACCGATCCACCACCACAACCAATGGCCAATGCCACCCAATCAATTTCACCATTTAACCTGGCTCTAACACTAGAGTTGGGACTAACCTGGCTCTGACACTAGAGTTGGGACTGAGTTAGTGGGTCAACTCAACACTAGTATGATATTGTCCGCTCTGGACTAAGTCCGCACGGATTTGTTTTTGGATAAACTCAACACTAGTATGATATTGTCCGCTCTGGGCTAAGTCCGCACGGATTTGTTTTTGAATAAACTCAACACTAGTATAATATTGTCCGCTCTGGCTAAGTCCGCACGGATTTGTTTTTGGATATTCTTCCAAAGGCCTCTTACTAGTGGAGTTCACTTAGGACTTATAAGGTGTAAAATTTTCTTCACAACTTTCGACGTGGGACTTGGGTTTACACCCCAACACCATGACTTAATAAAACCTTATTATTATTATTATTATTTACGAGGGTAACAATATATTATATATATATATATTGTATTAGTACATATATATTGTACCTTTTTTATAATATCAATCCGTTGGTCCAAATTTTATATAATAAAACATTAATCAAACATCAATTCCAATAGTAAAACTAACTTTCAACCACAATATAATGATAAACAATCAAACAACATCCCAGTTTATCCAATAAAATCGAACTTTCAACCACAACATAAAACAATAAGCAATCAGACAACGTCCCGATGACAAACAAGTACACATAAAGTTTACACAAACTAAGTTTATTCATTCATACATAGAACATCGACAATATTTTCAAACTCACTTCTTCTTTGGAGTATTTGCAAGTTTGTAGGCATACTTCTTGAAAACTTCAAAGTCTCTATCTCCGACTTGATCGACAGATATTACCCCGGCAATCTCTTTCAAGTCCTCCGGTGTTAGCTTCAATTTGAAGGACCCGATATTATCATCCAAGTTCTTAATCTTCGTAGTCCCTAAATACCAATTTTAACTTTTAGAAAATCATGTCGCCTCTCAGCCCAACAAAAATCGAATATCAAATTTGTAAATAGTTTAGAGCCCAAAGTTATACCGGGTATTGGAACAACATCGTTGCCTTGATGAACGAGCCACGCTAAAGCTAGTTGTGCCGGGGTACACGAATGCTTGCTCGCCAAACTTGCAAACTTGGAATACAAAACTTTGTTTTTGTCAAAATTCTCACCCGAATACCTCGGGTGGTATCCCTGCGAGGACAATCATTTTCTTGAGAACATTGGGTTGCAGAGATAAAGTAAAAATTACGTAATACATGTAATTTTAGCCTCGTAAGAAACAAGATTTATCATTCTAGTCGTTTAAATAAATTTGAAAATGGTCTTGTATTTCACTTGTTATCTTTCTCTAATAGTCTAGTATTTGAAAATGTCACCCATATAAAAGTCTATATTGTATGGAAGAGTGTCACGTTCAAATATATGATCATTAGAGCGATGAAGAGTAAAAATATAAGATTATTTTCACACGAGATAATTATTCCAAAAAATTGTATGTCATGATTACCAAGTAACTCTCGGAAGGAATCGTCTCTACAATTCCCTTCCCACCAAAGAATCCGTGGCCAAGAGGACTATACGCTACTATTCCAATGCCGAGTTCCCTGTATTGAAACCAACGATCATTTTTCACAATAGTAAAGTTTCCCTCTGTCGCTATAAGAATAGCAATTTTATCACATATGACAAATTGTAAAGATCTACAAAGATGGAACTACTAGTAAAGCTTACCAAAATCTATATAAGGCATTTATGGTAAGTATAAAATCTATATCGGCTATATGTTCACTTGTACTACCTCCGTCCGGTTCTAAGGGTCCGTATTGATATTTGAATATTAATTATTATATCAAAATGTAGTATAAATTAAGAAAAAATTGCAAAAATACTTTCATTAGTGTCTTATAATACTAATAGAATACATTTGTACAAAAAAATATACAAATATAAATATATTTTTAATGTTAAGTACAATGTAAAATGTAAATATGTAAATATGACTCTTACAGACATACGGAAATAGTAGATTTTTTTTTTCATTATTTTTAGTACTACTCAATTTACAATGTATATACATTTTTTTAAAAAAAAACCATATGAAACTCACTTTCACCTTAATAATTTTAAAAGCTAAGATTAAAAAAATAAATAAATAAAAGTACATGAAGTTCAATATATATACAAATGTATTGCTTCTTTCCTCTGTTTTTTTTTTTTTTTTTTTTGACACTATTTGTTTGGTTTTAGTTTGTGCAAGTAAATTGAGTAACAATCCGCCATTTGAGTTTATATAATAGTGGTTTGACTTATTAAATGGAATGTGTTCTAACTTAACAATACTATAAAATACATATAAAGCATAAAATGACAATCTCATGACATTATTTAGAATAGAAAATTTTTGTTGGATTGATAAATCATAACATCGACTTTCATAGGATTATGATCCTATATTTAAAAAATTTTCTAAGGACCTTAGAAACAATCATTGGATTTTAAATAATATACACGTGATTAGACTGAATAAAATAATTGATGTTGTTATAACTTAACTATATAGGCTATGGTTAAATAAAAATATATTGCGCGCGAAAATAAAATAAAATAAAATAAATTTTCGACCTAATATAAATATCAAACTAACCTACAAGTAGGAATCACATCTTCTTCGACTTCACGACTCCACAACGAATACTCAATTTGCAAGGCCGTAATAGGATGCACGGCATGAGCCCTCTTGATCGTGTCGACGCTAGCTTCAGATAAACCGATGTATTTAATTTTTCCCTCTTCCACGAGCTTCTTCAACTCTCCCATCTTCATGCAAAAAGATAGAGTTAAATCTAACTCGAATTAAAAATAATTCGGATTAGAGAAACATAAGGTGTAATTAAGTGATTTATGATATTCACAGTTTCTTCTATTGGTGTAGACTGATCAACACGGTGCTGATAGTACAAATCGATGTAATCAACGTCAAGGCGCTTAAGACTGTCTTCGAGGCATTGGCGCACGTATTCGGGACTTCCATTGACCTCGACTTCTACTAGGGAAACCGAAACTAGGCCAAATTTACTTGCAAGTTGGACTTTCTCTCGAGGTAGTTTCTTCAATGCCTACAACAATAGCGTACCATCTTGTTTAGCCGTCGGGTCATTTAGTAATGTTTCATCAAAATATACGAGATATACAGTGTTGTTTTTAGGGGTTTGTTTACTATTCAATTCTCACATTTTCATTTTCTCTCATAAAACATCGAATCGAAATAATATATTCCCTCCGTCCGGGAAATTTAGCCCATTTGAGCTCGGCACACGAATTAAAAAAAATTAATATTTTATTGAAAAATAGAAAAATTAAAAGGGTAGTTGGGGGTATTTTGGAAATTTAATTAGGAATTAAAGAGAATGAAGAGAATGTTATAAAGTGAGTGGTATTTATGGTAAATTAGACGGTCGAACGAAAAGGAAAAATAAGAATAAATTTGACGGACGGATGAAAAAGGAAAGTGAAAATAAATTTGGCTGACGGAGGTAGCATAATAAATTAAAACTCAAATCTAAATACAAAAAAAGTTCTAAAAAAACACACTTAAGTCACACCAAAGCAATTCAATGATGCTGTTGATCGTTCTATAAGGTTCCATGAGTCATATGTTTGTGTCGATGCAATGATTCTCGACTTCTATTATTTCATAGAGAAATAGCAAATCTTGAAAAATGACTAGATGAAATGAAAAGGTAGAATAACGCATACATGTGTTGTCGAGCTCCATTTTTTTTTTTTTTTTTTTCACATAATCGAACCAAACACTACTAAGCATGGGGGCTGTGGCAAATAAGCCAAAATCATACACAATCGAAGCTCCAAGGAAACAAACATAACTTTCTTCGAAGTGTCATCAAACTACAGAATTCTGAATACCACCAACACCACTAACGACAAAAACACACAAAAGTACAGAAAATTAAGCATAGTTATAGGCAACCCAATCCTATCTAGTTTCATCAAATCAAGAATTCAACAAAAGCTTCATTAGCTCCACACACAATCGACATACAAGTCGAAACACAAAGAAACCAGCAAGTGTGTTCCAAATAATGCAATCCAATTCACCACAACAATTTTTACAATTTCATTCGGTTGAATCGAAATTTGTTATGATCAAATTCAGTTGTGCACTTTACTTTCAAATCCACATTCGCTTCCCACTACTCGTTACATCTTTTCCCCCTCGAAAGAACACAATCGAACTTATTTTCTATTCAAAAAATTTCAAATCCAACTCCATCCAAAATCACCAAAATTATCACAAAAAAACACAACTAAATCCATAACCTATAAAGATCTGCACACACACACACAACCTATATATATATATACAAGTATACTCATCACATTTTTTTTCCCTCAAAAAACACCATGGGAACTTATTATCTATTAAAAACATTTCAACTCCAAATCATCCAAAACCACCAAAATTATCACAAAAACACAACGAAATCCATATCCTATAAAGCACAAGATCTACACACACAAATATACATATATATATATATGTATGTATATATACCTTGCTGATCATGATCTCATTGTCCCCCTTTTCTCCATAGACATCAGCTGTGTCAAAGAAAGTTATCCCACTGGCGAAAGCTTGTTCCAGAAATGCAACTCCTTCCTCATGAGGCAGTGGGGCATTCAGTAACCCTGAAAGCCCAGCGCACCCCAATCCTATCCCCGAAACCTAACAGCCATTCAATTCTCTAAATTAATTATATACTCTATTTTTTAAAACTAAAATTTCACACAGAGGAAGGGATAGAAATCATCCTGAATCGATAGACAACTAAAATCAACACAAGAAAGCTCCATCGCAGGTGTGTTTCTCGCAGTCATACTATGATATTTATCCGAAACATTACACGAACTCTGAATTAGCTGAAAATTTGTTGCGAATCGTCGAAGAAATTAATGGTGTATAGAGACATTGGAGGGAAATAGTTCGTGGGAGTTTTGCATATATATATATATATTATACCTCTAAGCCTTGTGAGCCTAATTTCACCCTCGGCACTTGTGGTTGAATCTCCATTGCTGCTGCTTGCAAGAATTATTGGGATATGATTTGTGGAGTTGTTAGTAGAGTACTACGTCCAATTGGAAAGGACGAGGTACTGTTCTTTCTCACCATGGAGCGTAAGACACGTGTAAATTTAATATTACAGTACTATCTAATCCTATCCTATATCCTATCTATATGTCGTGGTTACTTTTATATATATTACAGTATTTTCGTCTTTTTCGCCACAATTTATTATAATACTAATATTTAAAAATATACGTGAAAAAAAATAAACGATCCGGGGACGGAAGGAGTATAATTTTTCAGTTACTCAATTATAGTTTTTTTTTGAAATAATGAAATAGTGGAATAGTTTTTTAATTTAATTTGTAGTACTTTGCGCAATATAGTAATACGAATGCACATATGTATTTTCTTAGCAATTTAGCTAGATTACCGTAATTAGCCTCCCCCGATGAGAAGATGTGTTGAAAGTCTAACAAAAATTTTTTATGCTATATTTTAAATATAAAATTAAAAGTATAATATAAATGATAAAATATATATATATATTTGATAATATTTTTGAAGAAAATTCTTTTAATAAATAATATAAATTTGAAAAGAAAATTATAAAACATACACAATATAATTATAACTTTTTAATGTAATCACCCAATTTTGATTTTTTACACAATCCGAATTATGTCACAATTGTTTTGAGACGAACGAAAACGGAAAAACAAGACAACTCTTCTTGGAACGGAGGAAGTAATATTTTAAGTTTGTGTTTGTTTGGGGGATTGGATTAAATTTTCACTATTCATGTAATTTCCCCCCTCCCCAAAAACATCAAATCAAACACCAATTTTTCATTTTTATATTATACTAAAAATCAATTTGCATCAACACCTATTTATATCACATCATACAACTATTCAAATTCAAAATTTTTACTATTCAAATTTTAACTCAAAATCCAAACCCCCAAGATTTCCACTGTTCATCCCATTTTTTTCCCAAAAAAAAAACATCAAATCAAACACTTATGGTTTCTTTTGTGTTTGAGTTTGGGTAAGGTTTGGAGAGTTTCGATGTGTATTGATTCGATGGATAATGAATAAAATAATATAAATGTGTATTGAATTTAATTGATAAAATTTATATTGTATGATTTTATTATGAATTTATATTATACCCAATATATATTTAAATTTTTATTTATTTATATTATAACAAATTTTATTTCTACCAAATGACATATTGTATATATATATTTTTTTATTTAATTATAATAAATATTAAATAAAATTTTAATTTTTTTTTTTTTTTAAAAAAAGGGGTGTTTGGCGTCCAGCACAGTATTTAATTATAATAAATATTAAATAAATATTTAATTTTTTTAAAAAAAACACAAAAAAAGGGGGAGGGGCGGGAGGTTAGGCCCCAAAAAAAATATTTTGTAAAAATAAAATACTTTCTTCCTCCGTACTATAATAAATTATCCATTTTTTTATTTTAGTACGTTGATAACAAATTATTCATTTCTTTTTTTAGTAACTTTTTTAGTAACTGTACTTTCTACTTAACATTACAAATACCCTTACAACTTACAATATATTACACAAATGTCATTACCTTTATATCACACATACTGCTAAGGTTATTTTAGTCATTTCTACTTTATTTCTATTATATTTCAATATAATACTAATATTTTTAAAATTACGTGAAAAAACAAATGGATACTTACTTTCGGAACGGAGGGAATATATTTTAATATTTGTATATAAATTATCGTCATTGAATAAATAAAAATAATATTTTTAATTGGAAGCAATAAGGTATGATGTAATTTTTGTACATTAAATAAAAATGATTGCATCTATGTCATGAAAAATCAAAATTAAAAAAATCTTTGGCTGCGTCGTTTTGTAAATTATTTTAGTAGTATTTTTACTATTAATTTTATTTTAAAAATTTTAAATCAGAGTAATTAGTTTTTATTTTATATATTATATTAAAAAGTAATTTTACAATTCAAAATATAAAGTCAATATATATTTCTATTATATAAAATAATTTGCTTTTTTAGACATAGATTTTTTTGAAAATTTTTAGAATTTTGAAAGTTTGCAAAAAAAAGAATAATAATAAATTAATATTTAATTTAATATTTTATGAAAAAAATTATATTTAATATAATATTTTTAAAAAATTAAATAGTGTCAAGAGTTGATAGTGCGTTGCGCAAACAAAGTTCAAATTTTTATTACTATTAAAAATTCAAACTAAAATGTGAAATACACAAACAAACACACCCTTTGTACCGTGCCACGTCATCCATAGAAATGAGCTGCTCTATCCAATAGAATTAATCCACGTCACCCTACCCAGCAAATCAGAGTCAATGAATTAATCGCAATTCATTAAAATGTTGAACTTTTTAGAACTTCAGGCAATTGCGAGTTGTCCTTTTGTCTCGGCCAAACCCTAATTTCCGATCAGTGGCTCCGGCGACGTTGACATGGAGGCGACTGCGACAAGAATCATTCGAAGTGGAGGCGGCGCGTGGGCAGTTGTCGCACTTCTGTTAGTGAGCTTGATCAGCCGCACATCGGCGCTGACGGTGACGGTGAAAGACGTCGAATGCGTGTACGAGTATGTTTACTACAAAGGCGACACCGTGACGGGGAATTTTGTTGTCGACGATGTCTATTGGGACAACGAGCGCACCGGCAGTATGGATTTCATAGTACGCTTCTTTGTTTTTTATTTTATATTTTTCTGAATATACGTACTTTGGTTTGTGTGTTTGTAGTTGGATTTGTGTTTGTGAAATTATGGATTTTATTTAGTTTTTAAGGACAATTTTTGATGAAGTATTTTGTGAATTGTTGTTTGCTTATGCTGTTTTTTTACTAAATTTTGTCTTTTGTTTGCTGCTTTGTATAATTAGATCTGGTTTTGGTTTGAAACTTTGTGAAGTAAATCTAAACGGATATAGTGATTAGGGTTTATTTTGGGTAGAACAGAGTTTTGAAATTTGATTACCTAGTCACTATCAAGGAATGGATTTTCTTTCAGCATATGCTATTGTTATAAAATCTGCGGAGGTGAAATTAGTTGTAAGTTGTAAGGATGAATTGTAGATCTTTAGTTGATTAAGAGTTTGTTTTCCTTTCTGATTTGGGCTGCTTTTAGATGTTTTGGATTATATTGGAAATAGGAGAAAATTGAATTGATAACGGGGGCGTGTTTGTTTGTGGTTTTGAATTGGAATAATTGTTTCATGTGATGCAAGTTGATAGCTGTGTTAAATTGATTTCTAGTGTAATATAAAAAATAAGAAAATAGATATTTGATTTGATGTTTTTTTAAGGGAAAAATTGTGAATAAAAAAATTCAGGTTGGAAACCCACAAACAAACAGAGCTTAAGTTTTGATGTTATTTTTATAATGGAAAAATAGTTGCTTGATGCAATGTTCTGAATAGAACAAATTTTCAATGTCTTAATAAAAAAATAATTGTTTGATGTGAAATAGGTGTTGATTTTCTTTAATATTTTTACACCATAGAAGCGAAAAAACAAAGAAACACATGGAATAACATTATTTCATTATTTTCCGTATGTTAACTTTATTGAAATTTAAAATGGAAGTAGGTTTGGTTGGCACTCTATTATGTCTTTCTCTAATGGAGAAAACCCTGTTTTAGTTTTGAACTTAATGTAATGCAGGCAACAACTCCTGATGGTACGACCGTGCACACTGTGAAGGCATCATCGGGAGACAAGTTTGAATTTAAGGCCCCTGTAGATGGAATGTACAAATTTTGTTTCCATAACCATTACCATACACCCGAAGCAGTCTCTTTCAACATTCATGTTGGCCATATTCCTAACGAGCACAACATTGCGAAGGATGGTTTGTAGTTATCTGATTAACTTTCTAGTTTTTCTTCATATATATATTTTTAAGTTGTTTGTCTTAATCTGTAGCTCTTGTTTCTTCGAAAAATATTATGGCTACTTACAACCTTCCCTGGATTTGCAGAACATTTAGACCCCATAAATACTAAACTTGCTGAACTGAAGGAGTCACTAGAATCCGTTACGCTAGAGCAGAAGTATCTGAGAGCACGTGATGCGCGCCATCGCCATAGTGAGTCCTTTTGTTTGCTTAGCTTTATTTGCTCACTTATTTCCAATTATAATATTTGTGGATTCTGAAATGATGTCTTGCTTAGATGCCTTTTGTGTCGTTCTATTACCTTGCCATATTCTTCGACTGTTTTATCTAATTCAAATGACGTGTAAAATAGAGGGAGTTCTCGTCCATGGTTGGCTAGCAATGCTTGGCATCAATTTTCATATCATTGGTTGTGATTCATTGGGAATTGGGGAATTTGGCTGTGCTTTGGTGTGTTTTTGACATTTTGGAAATAGTAAAAGCTTAATGAAATAGTTATTTGATTCAATATAAATCGATATTAGATGCGATGTTTTAAATAGAAAGTAAGTGTTAGATGTAATACTCCCTCGTCCGTCCATAAGAAGAGTAGTATTTGTTTTTTACAAGTAGTTTTTTTATTATTAGTATTATATTGGTTTGTAGTACAAAAAGACAAAAATATCCGTATTAGCACTGTCTAATATAAAAATAATGGCATTTGTGTAATTATAAGTTGTAAAAGTATTTATTATGCTAGGTAGATAGTAAATTTATTAAATTAGGAAATGGTATCCTTGTTCTGGGACGTACAGAAATGAAAAATGGAACAGTTCCTATGGGACGGAGGAAGTATATCAAATGAAAAACAGGTGTACAGGATGATTCTTTTAGGAGAAAAGAAAGGAGTTAATGTAGAATGAGCACAAGTATAATATTTGAAATGTTTTGGTATCAGAGTTTATATTTCCAGTAACTCAATTTATTTTCTGTAGCATGATTTGTTGGAAACACAATCAACCACACCCTAGTTTTGAACAGTTTAATATATGAAATATTTAAATGGCAACAATAAAAAAATATCACAATTCATATATTTCCAGAAAATTAAGGAAGCTATTCCGAACACCTAAACTTGAGCGTGTTTGGATATATACTTAAAGATGCTTCTAGTACAAAATGACTAACTATGATTCGATTGGATATGTCATATCAGTTTGATCAATTTTAACGAGTAGGTCTCCAGTTTCTTAAATTATATATAGATTCAATCTGGAATTGCAATAGATCAGTCTAAACGTTTTCAATTTATGTAAAAGAGGAATGACACTATGCTGTCCCATTAATCCCTCCTGCCTTAAATTTAGTGTTTCATTTTACCGAGTAAATCACATCCTGTTTTTATCTCCCGACTGCAGCCAATGAAAGCACGAGAAAGCGCGTTATAAACTACACAATTGGAGAGTACGTTCTGCTGGCTGTCATGAGTGGGCTTCAGGTTTTCTACATCCGGCGCCTCTTCAGCAAAACAGTCCCTTACGGTCGTGTGTGATGACGATGATATTCCTTGACCGGGCTGGATAACTTTCCTCCCATAAATTGAGGTAATTTTTTCGATGTTTTAGTACAAACTAGGAAGAGGAAGAATATATATACATATATATCTGTACTATTAATGCTATGGTTTGGAATTGGCTGGTTCTGCTTTAATAAATTTACCGAGAAACAGCATTCTATTTTAGTATATATACATTTTTTTTTATCAAATATTTTTGTCGAAAGCTATGGATAATTGATTTTTCGCCTTCTTTTGTCTATGCTTAGATTGTATTATTTTTGAAATTATTGTTACATGATAATCATAACGCCGTTGTAAGCTAGTATGGGGAAGAACGGGCTTTGTTGGGTGGTGCTGTCTCATTTAGAGATTGAAGCATACTCGAAGAGCTGTCAACTAGCCGAATCGAATAAAACTCTAAGTGTGTATATTTATTTGTTAATGTTCGCAGACAAGGTTCGTATTTGCTTGTTAAGCATTCAAGCTCGACTTAACAATTTTATTGGTCGAGCTCAGTATGATGTTTTATTTATTTATTTTTTAAAATAAAGTTTCACACATATATGTATATTATGAATATATAAGTTTTTTTTTTTTTTTCATTATGAATTATATATGAATTTAACCAACGAAAAAATAAATAATGATACTACTATTTCTCTTACACGTTGTAAATATCATTATATTTTTATAATTTATTTTATTAATATTATTGTATTTATATTTTAAGTGACTAATAAATATGTTTTTATTTATATTATTTATTGATATAATAATTAATAGCAACCCGAGACGGAGTATTTTTATTAAGTTATAAAATAAAATTAAAAATAATAAAACGAATACATAAGTATAAAATAAAATACTCCACTAAAAAGAATAGTGTGAGTATAGCTTGGCCGACAGTGATTGGGCCAAATAAAGACATCGAACGTACAAAAGGGGGACCCACACGTGTCAAAAATCTCGTGTCTGTGTGCTTTTCCCGACCGGACCGTGTCCGTCGCTGCTATTGCCACGCCATCATCGTCTCAGTATATGGATAAGCTCTTATCCCGTGTTTGCCACCAATCCCAAAAAATACAAAAAAGCACCAACAATTCCGACATTCCCATAACACCTCCAAACACGCCCTTACCCCTGCTATTACAATAAAGCCCTCACTTTTCCCTACAATCTCCCAGGGTATTACCGTAATTTCACAGCACACCCAGAGCCTTCTATTTATTCCTATTTCGCTGTTCTTCATCTTCCCCGCTGACGTTCCGTCGTTCATTACGCTCTCTGCAATTCTCTAGAAAAAAAAAAAAAAAAAAGAAAGCCTCGAGGAGAGGTCTCCACTGCACCGCCGTTCGCGACGACGAGCGTCCTTCGGTTTATTCACCGGCAGCGGAAGAGATGCTGGCTGTTCTCGAAAAGTCGGTGGCGAAAAGCCCCGATGCATTGCTGCAGAACGGAGAGGCGGGGTCAGCAACCGCCGCGCTCAAGGATGGGTTCCTGGCGACGCATTTCTCCTCAGCGCACCCTGGAACCGTCGTAATCAACCTCGGTTCGTCTGGTTTCATGGGGTATTCCACCGGCAAACAGAATCCGATTCTCCCGAGGTCAGTGCCTGTTCGATACCCTGTTCTAATTCAATTTAGCTTGATTTGGTTTGTTTGATGCTCGATTGGTTCTCGATTTTGCATTCCGAAACCCTAGTGTATCTGATACGATGAATTTTGTATTATTGTTGCTTCCAGTAATAGGTTTTGTGCTATCCTTCCTGAAAAATTAATAGTACTTCCTCACCTCGGCTTACCATTTTATGACGTTCGTTGTTTAACAAATAATAATTAATTTGCTAATAGTTTTTTTACTTACTCTTCTGCATTACTTTCTACACATTATCTTCATATTAAAATACTACAACCTCCGGCTCTCATCATTTTACTTAATATTAAAATATTTTTATATTTGTATAACTTTTTGAACAAATGTTATTATAATAATACTATAGGACACGAAAAGTAAGATAACACACTAAAAGTAAATGAGACTCGGGGAGGTAGTATTATTATATAATTAATGTATTGGGCATTGTTGGCATAAATAATCAGGGTGGATGGAGAGTAAATTAAGAAATATTATCTCCCTTTGGTTATAAGGATCTCAAATATTTTTTTATAAATATTTGAACACTAATTATTATATCAAAATGTAAGTATTGCAAAAATATTTCTATATATAAATGTGATCCTTAAAGAAGCCTTAAAGAAGCACGTTAAGAGTAATGGTTTTTTTTTAGTTAGGGTAGGTGTGGAAGAGTTTTTGATATTTTTGCTTATGTATAAAATAATTGTATATATAATGATATACTTTTAATTTAAGTAAAAGTTAAGAGTATTTAAGTATTAGTCTAAAATTATTTTTTCAAAAAAAAAAAAAGATAGTTTGAAATGGAATAGACTAAATATCTTAATATTTAAGTGAGATAGTATTTTAATATGGTACCAGAGCTTTCTAGAGAGTCGTATAGACAATTATTTTCTTGACCTTTTTTTTGTTTTCCGTAGAAATTAAATATCAATGCATATATAATCATATATCTGTAAGTTTTGTTGTCATTGAGGTTTAATGTGGAAGGTTGTCCCTGTCATGTAAGGCTTTCTTGGAGAAATTAAATAGTGAAATATAGAATGATACATCTTCATAGTCTGTCTTGTTTATTTGGTAGTAATTGATTCTTGGCCCATTGTTCTGATTCATACTGTTGTGTGTGCCTGGCATCATTTGCCGGAGTTCTGATTTGCTCCTCGTACAATTACATCTTTCCATTGAAATATGGAGCTTGTAAACTTGCATTAAAAATAATTTACTCGCATAGTTTCTGTATTAAGAACAATACCTTGTGGCTGAGTATTGGGTGAGGTGTCATTTAGAGTTGCATAGTTATGAATAATACTTTTTCCGTCATATGCTCTTTTTTTTGTCATAGAAAATATTCTTGTTTTTTTTAGCAAAAAAAAGCAATCGCTTTTTGTATTTTTGTATTATAAAAGACAAAAAGTAATCATTAACCTACTTTTATTAAAATCTGTGCCTAAATATTTAAGTACACAGTTGAATGATGGAGGAAGAAATAGTTAGACGATATGTTTGATTTGATTGTTTACTTGTTTATTCTATTATATGATGTTTTTATGTAATAATTAGATGTTTGGTAAAGATATGGGAGTAATAATTGTGTTTAATTATATTTTGGAAGAGTGTAATTTTGGAGAACGGTAAGAAGTTGATAGAAAATAGATGTTCGATGTGATGTCATTTAAGAAAGATACTGTTGACGAATATTGACAAAAATGATTTGAAAATGCAGGTTTTGACTCGCATTTATATTCAAATGTCAGTGTGTATATATCATTATGCAAGAATATATATTTGTGTAAATTAGAGAGAGAGACAATAAAATCTTGATATTTATATGAACATACAATAGTGAGAACAAGTTCTCTTTGAAGGATTTCATGTTTGTTATAAACATATATTGGAGCGGTGAATCGGCTCACTCGTGTATAGTACAGTACCTTTTCTACCCCCATGAATGGTTTCATTACAAACTATGGCAGATCAATTGGCCCGTCATCCTAACTTTGCTGATTTGATCGGATCAGCATATCATATAAAAACATTCAACATATATTTTTTCATAACACATAAAAGCATACAATATATATTTTTATATAACACAATATATGTTGTGTATAAAATATAATATGCTGAGTTATAACACAATATATACTGTATCATAAATATGCTACGATTGTATATAATATATGTTGATCGGATCATATCAACACTATACTTATTTAATTGGGTCAGCACCGGATCCGCATCATATATATAAAGATATATATTTATATATAGCTTCTAACCTGTTTTATTCATCTTTTCAGACTCTTTGCTGTATTGGACGACATATTCTGCTTGTTCGAAGGCCACATCGAAAATGTCGCACATCTTAAGCAACAGTACGGGCTAAACAAGACGGCAAATGAGGCAATCATAGTCATCGAGGCTTACAGGACATTGAGGGACAGAGGCCCTTATCCCGCCGATCAAGTTGTGAGAGATATTCAAGGGAAGTTCGCGTTCATTCTGTTTGATACTGCGATGAAAGTTGCATTTATCGCCTCAGTGAGTATATCCTGAATCCCAAGGCCTTCAGACATCATTTCGTGTTTTACTATTTTGCCCTGGCGCCGTGTGCTGTCTTAATCTGGCTTTTTTCGTCGAATCATTCCCTTAGGATGTTGATGGGAGTGCACCATTGTTTTGGGGAACTGATGCGGAAGGCCACCTCGTCGTATCTAACGATGGAGATGCTGTGAAGAAGGGTTGCGGCAAATCATTTTCTCCATTCCCCAAAGGTATATGTTGTTTGCCGCGGCTTTTGTCTTACCAATCACCATACTTGTTATTGTTTCTTGTTTATGTTTTGTGAAATATGTCTCTTCGATTTCTTCTTATTCTTTTTCCCCATTTTCTTTACTCTTCAATTTTACGATCTTCTACAAAAATATACTCCCTCCGTTTTCCTTGTACATAAAATTTAAAAATAATAGTATTTTAATATAAAAACAGTAAAGGTATATATGAGAAATTTATCATAAAGTTGATAAAAAAGTTGTGGAATAAGTAGAAACTAGTGATAAATTAGATATTATTTGTCAAAGTAGATGTAATAAATTTGTGAGTGGATAGATATGATATATTTGTGAGTTGAATATTATTTTATCTAACAAAATATTATGTGCAATTATCATTTAAACCAATATAACTCGTACCCTCCTCGAATGCTTTAAAAATATTTGAGGCTGAAAAGTCTAAACCAAAATTATTTTATTTTTAGAAAAATCAAGAGTGTATTTATTTGGAGTTTGGGTTTCGAATTTGGATTTTGAATAGTTGTTATATGTGATATAAATAAATATTGATGTGATATGTTGTTTTCCGACTCATCAGGTGAATTTTTTCAAAGAACTGATTTGTTTTAGTTGTAAAATAAATTTTTAGTATAATATATATAAAAAAGTATGTTTGATTTGGTAGTTTTTAAGAAAAAAGATATAGTGAACAGTAAAAAAAAAATTTATGGCTTACATCCGTTATATTATCAAAATTGCATCAATTTAATCCTTTCTTTGTAGGATGCTTCTTCACCTCTTCGGGAGGTCTGCGTAGCTACGAGCATCCGGTGAGCGAGCTGAAGGCTGTCCCGAGAGTGGACAGCTCAGGGGAAGTCTGCGGCCTAACTTTCAAGGTCGACGAAGATTCCCGGGCAGGAAAGCCCGGGATGCCCAGAGTTGGAAGCGACGCCAACTGGGCTCAACAGTTCTAACTAATCGATGTATTACAACCTCAAAAAATCCCACGTATGTACGTACTCAACTTATTCTTTACCGAGTTCTTAAAAGGTTTTACGAACTTCTTCGGCAGTATTATTGCAGTACACAATATCCCGTATGTTGTCTGTGTTTTATTTGTAGTGAAGCGTAGTAAAAGTATCTTCTTAATTTTGTGATGGCTTGTCATTTGTTTAGTTTTTTCATTTTAATTGTTAGATCCAGTCAAATCAGTATAGTGCCGATCTATGAATCAGTTATAGTGCCGATCTATGGATCAGTTTTTATACATATCATAATATATTTATAATAATATGCTGAGATATGTATAAATATAGATGTTTGATTATCTGTAAAGCTTATGTTGACAACATAGTATCTGCAATATTTTAGTTTATTTTTAGAGGCTTAAATACAGTTAGTTTGTTTTTTTTGTATTTTAAACTTTTATAGCATTAATAAGTTACTGTTTTGTGAAACCAAATAATAATTTGATATCATATTTTTATTTTTTTATTTTGAAGAAAAAAATACTATTAATAAATATTATAAAAAATTAAATTTGATTACGGTGCTAATTGGATGTTGATTTGATCAAATAATAAATATTTATAAAGGTGGCCATTAGGTTGAATTAGCGTTAAGTTGATTTTGATCAAGTTAACAAATTAATTTAAATTAATTAGCAAATTATCACAAGATATATTATATATTACTAAGTTAGGACCTTAATTTGAAATAATTAGTAAATAACATATATTATATAGAAATATGTATTGTATGAATTATATTAATATATGCTATATGAGTTATATATTGTGCTTTGCTATATAATTTATTTACAGTACTATGAAGCTAAAATTAAAATCTATTGTGCTGATTAAATTATATAGTTTTTTATTAAAATATTTGTTATATATATTATATTAAAATGTGTTGTATAAATATTTGTTGATTAAATTAAAATAGTGTTGTTTCAAAATTAAAATTATATTTTCCTAAAAGTAATTATATAATTTACTATTAAAATATTTGATATATATTATATTAATATTTATTATTATTATTATTATTATTATTATTATTATTTTTTATAAATTTTTACTCGTATTTGATCAATCAACATGATTATCTATATAGATATTTCCTTAAAAACAACCGAGTTAATAGACACTAATGCCAATAGGGATTTTTACAGTTGGTGTATAATTCCATCAAATTATCATCGTTTTATAGGTGTATAAATAGGAATTTTACAAAAAAAAAAAAATAAAAATAAAATAAAGAAATAAAAAAAAATTAAAAAGAAAAAGGGAAATTTACATTAGTCTTTTATGTTACGCCAATCACAAATTTTCTACCAACCAATTTATTTTTAAACTTAAGAAACTAAATTTCATTTAATAAGTAAAAGAATTAGACAAGTTGGAGCTTTATCTACAATATTATGATATTATTAGTCAAAAAATGTTAAAAATATTTTTAACAAAGTTTCTTTTTTAATGTTGAATTCTAAATATGTAGTTATTATTATAATGTAAAAGTTTATTTGTTAAATTAAAGTATTGACAAAATACTCTTCTTCAATCATCTAAATTATAGAAATTTTATACAAATTAAAAAAAGTAGAATATCATAAATAATATTTTTTCGAGTAAAGTAAGCAACTAAATAATTTATCAACAATTTATTTAATAGTTTTGTGGAGACTTTACTTAATTTGCAAAAAAAAAAAAAAAAAACCAATTATTTATTTATTTTATTCAAATAAAGTTATTTAAAATAGTATTTTTTGTATATTTTAATTTAACAATAGATTTCACACAATAAATGAAACATAATATATTTTGTGCATTTATACTAAAATACAATCAAGAATTACATAATTTATTCATATATATCAAACTTAATTTGAAAAAAAAAAAAACATAGTAACTTAGTTCGACTCGTCAACAATTCTAACAAACTTCCAAAGCACGGCTATTAAATAAATTAAACCTAGCTAGAAGATGAGTCAATTCCCCTATGACATCCCTACGTAAATTATTGAGGAAGAGAGATAAAAATAAATACGAACAAATAGAGACAAGAAGAGTATTATATTGGCGGAATGGAGAGATGCTTTTCCAAATTCGATATTCCATTTTCGAAGTGAATATTGCAATAGATGCCTTATGAACAAAGCAAGCCATACAAAAGCTAAGGTCCCCTCTTTCTACAATTGTTCTCATCTCTCAACTAACAAAGGGCGACGACGAGGAAGATTACAATAAGGGTGTGATCGGGATTTTCCAAAAAAATTACTATACATCAATTTTTTTCTTCCAAAAAAATCAAATCAAAAACTTATTTTTTATCTTTTATACTCCCTCTGTCAAAGAAGTAAGTATATATTTGCTTTTTGTACGTAATTTTAGAAATATTAGTATTATATTGGAATATAGTAGGAATAAAGTAGAAATGACTAAAATAACATTATTAGTACGTATGATATAAAGATAATGACATTTGTGTAATATATTGTAAGTTGTAAAGGTATTTGTAATGTTAGGTATATAGTACAGTTACTTAAAAAAAAAAGAAAATTGATACTTTGTTATGGAACAGACTAAAATGAAAAAATGAATATTTTGTTATGGGACGGAGGGAGTATTATACTTCTTCCGTCACACTTAATTTGTCCACTACTTCTATTTCTGTCTGTTCCACATAATTTGTTCTTTCTTTATTTGGAAATACAATTATACACTTTAATCACATTTTAAAATTCATAATTCATAATTTTGTTTATTTTAATTAAACTATTTAGTCATTTATCTTCCTCTAAAATTATTTTTACTAATACACTTCTTAATTACTCACTAGTTACACAATACCTAAAACTCCGTGCCTAATCTAAATGGGACAAATTAGCCGAGACGGAGAGATTACTAAAAATCAATTTTACATTCAAAATATCACATCAACGTCTATTTAAATTAAATCATACAACTATTTCGATTCAAAATTTTTAATATTCAAATCTCAATTCAAAATTCAAACCTTCAGACGAACATCCTTAATTTATTTGAACCCTCAAACTATAAAAGAGAGTAATGCTTCTCACACATGTATCATATGTAAAAAGGTATGTATGAGTATCCCACATGGGAGGAATCTCATACATATTTATTTTTTTCTCTTCTTTGGGAGTATTCCCCATGAAATGCATACTTCAAATTATTTTGAGGTAAGATTCTTTCTCAAAATACATACATATACATATGTGTGTATATATGGTAACTATTCGAAATCATTTGCAATATGTATATAGTCGTAATATTTGATACGGGTAAATAATACTTTCTCTGTTCATAATGCATGTGTTTGGTTTTTTTTTTTTTTTTTTTTTTTGTTTTTTTTTCGTACATTAAGAAATATTAGTATTTTATATGTAACGAATAGTATGTGAGAATATATATATATTAAAATGTATTTGGAAGTATATATTTTGTAAATGATTTTTTTTTTTCAATTCATAAGTATTCAGCACATTTGGTAAGTAGAAATGAAAAACAATAGAAATTCCAATTCTCAAAATGTGTTATTCCAAACAAAGTTTCAATTGAAAATGGAGAGTTTTTTAAGAGTTTATTTACTTTGTATTATTTTTTTTTGAATTTATTTTATTCTTTAAGTTTACATCATATCAAAAGTTATTTCATCTAAATATAAAAGCTTTCCCAACCTAATTCTTGAAAGGGATTCCAACATATTATTATTATTATTATTATTATTATTATTATTATTATTATTATTATTCACGATTTTGGTACTTTCGAGCGCACTAGAACATAACTTACAATTTGAGTATGAAATCAAAATTGTGATAAAACGAAAGTGCACATGACTAAATTATTACAATTAAAAATTTTGAAACGAGAGTAATCAACAAACAATATTTTAAAGTAAAAAATTGCGAAAAATCTTTTAATTTACACAAATATGGAAATAAAATTTATTTAAATTTCGACCTAGCAATCGAAGACAACCATCATCTATAGTGTTTGATTTATTGTTACAACACACATACACTCTAGTGGCCATGTTTGATGTTAAAAGTTTTTTTTTTTTTTTTTTCTTTTCAAAAATAAAATTTATTTAAATAGCTTTTATCCAAGAATATCAAAATATATCTAAATTTTTGATCTCACATTTCAACTTGATGGAAATAATGCAATTCTAGTCTCAAATGTCAAATAAAATCCTTATGAATAATTGCAAACAAACCCTAACTCTATTATTTGTCGATTTAATTAACTTCAATAATAGTTGTTAAAATTAATTTGCTAGCACTTAGGTTAATTAACATAATAGTTTCAATCACACAAATATGTTACATATTTATAAAAAGAAAAAGAAAAAACTAATTATTTTGAGTAAAGTAATAATCCAATTATTTTCTTATTTTATTTTTCTTTAGTTCATGATTAGTATATATATATATATATATATATTTTATTTGCAGTCCCCAAATTACAAGTAGTTATTTTTAATACAAGGTGTGTTCTTATATCAAACTTTTCTTTATTTTTACTATTTATCAAAAAAAAATTCTCAAAAATATTAAATTAAACATTTATATATATATATATATTATACTAAAATTAATTTCATTTAAAAAGGTGTTTTGATGTGAATATTATTACGCTCAGAGTTTGTTTGATTGTGTTTTCAATTTTTAATTTTCACTAATTATTTATAATAATTTATTTTTTCTCTTTAAAAATTACTATCATATAGTGTGTTATATTTTTATTTGGATTGTCATATTAAACAATGATTTTATTTCAAATTTTTTAACATTTCCAAAACACATTAAGACACCATAATACAACCAAACAATTTGTTCAAATGAGAAAAACAAAAACCAAGGTTATATATATATATATATATATATATTCTAAAAAAAGAGAAATATATATATGTCATAGCTTATCATATACTATTTTATTTAGATACCTAAATAATAGAGATGTAGGCAATTGAATGTGTAGATGCAAATGGCTATATGTATTATATTAGTATTATTTTACTTTATCAAAATAAACAATATATATAGTACGAATTAGCATTAAAGAATGCCTTTAATATACTAAACAAGTAAACATGCCTAAGAATAGAATTGATATAAT